TGAATAGTATTGAGTACTGTTGAATATTTGATTGTCTGCATTTGAAAGCTTGTCCAGATCACGCTTTGGTTCTGGTTGTTAATGACCTTGAGGGCTCGCATGCCTCTGAGCAACAGTGAAGCATTTCACTTTTGCGAAACCTAGCCCACATGTAACCACTCTTCTCTTTGATTCTCATCTCCTTCTCTTTCTCTATTATTTCTAAGATAATTGTATTTATTATGTTGACTTTGTATATACTATAAATTTTAGATTTTAATGGCAAAATATATAATTTAAAAAAATTAAATCTATCCGTAAATCTTAATGTTCCATTTTTACAAAGACGCCACCAAATAGTTCAATAAAGTTCATATCAATTGCATTTGATCGGTAACGACCAAACGTAGTAGTCTATATGTCTCGATACAATAATGCTGATTTTTTTTCTTCTATTTATCCTCTTTCGAGGGACTTTATTTGTTCATATCATAAAATAACAGCTATTTACAACAGTGTTTAAATACAAAATTCATGCAATTGTAACATATCATACATAGTACAGAACATGAAACTAACGTGACATAATCACTAACTAAAATAATGAAAACATTTTTGTAACTTTTGTAACTTGGTTTGTATCGAATTTCTTTTGATTACATTTCATATTGAGATAGGTGCGAATTTCCACCTTTTAATTCTTTTATCAAATATACAGCATGTTTCCTGTGCTTTTCACTTCCAAAACATTCTCTACTATAGTTTCTATAGATAATAAACTGAGCGAAGTTTAAAATGAGATTGACAAGATTCATTTTTCTTCTCTCTATTTCATGACCTATTAAAAGAATTTCTCCGTTCAAAAAGATTTTAAAATTAAACAAAGTATCAATTAATTTGGATACAATCTTCCAAAAAAGCGAAACCTTCTTGCAAGCCAGGAGAAGGTGGTTAGTTGTGTCTGGAATCTTACATATATCACATAGATTATTATTTGTAATCTTCCATTTACATAAATTGTCTTTACTGGGCAATATTCTATGAAGATATTTAAAATTAAACTGCTTAATTCTGTTGTCATTTATAAAGTAAAATTTATAATGGAGCAACGTTTTCCAGTTAAAGTCATTGGGTAAATCAAAATATGCGTTCCAAAAATAAATGCACGGCAGATCCTGTCTATTTTTTTCTAACATCAAATTATAATAATGTTTGGCTTTCATGACCGCTACATCAATGGAGTCACCTGTTACTATTTCTATTGTACTGGATTCCACTGCAGACAGTGGACTATTTACATATTGTAACCTATTACGTAATTTCTGCAACCAAAAATTCGGAAATGCACTTTTTAACTTTGCCAATTTGAAGGCGGAAAGTAATTCATTTTCTTGAAAATTAATACAAATAGAATGAACTTCTTTCCAGATACCGTTTACTAAGACTTGTTTCACTTTAAAAATATTGTTTCTCATCCAGTTTGGAAAATACAATAACTCATTCATATCTTTAATATTGCTATTATACCAAATCATTTCATTTTCAATATCTGTTACTTTAAACATATCAATATATTTTAATTCAGCCCAAGAACAAAACAGGTCAACATAAAAGTTAGGCAACGGTTTTTTTCTACAAATACGATACATATCACTCTTTTTGCAATTAAAATGCAAACAAAGTGGCAAATCCCCAATTTTCTTGATCCAATATTTAAACAAAATTTTCCAAGCACTTTTTTCATCTCTCAAATATTTATGAATCCATGAAAGACGGAGTGACCGGCATTTTGATTTTAAGTCGATCATTCCCAACCCCCCTTCTACTCCAGGATTGTGACGGATGTTTCGTTTTACCTTTTCTGTTTTAGAATTCCATAAAAATGTGTAAGCCAGTTTATTTATACGTTTAATTATTTTAGAAGGGATGGGAACTGGCAGTATGTACTATCTGAGACATAACTAAATGTTTAATCACAACAACTTTTCCGTACATTGTAAGTTTTCTCATTTTCCATAAATCCAAGGTATTCTTTATTTTCTCTACTTTAATTTCCCAGTTTAAATTTTGAACGTCAAAAGAATTTTTACCTACATAAATACCAAGACATTTTATAGGGTCTTCGGTGAAATGTAAATCTTCAACTTCATCGTCATTTATATTCAGTTTCATAAGATTTGATTTGGTCCAGTTTATTTTTGGTCCCGCATGTGCTCCAAACAGTTCTATTTCTTTCATTATTTCTTTAACAAATTTAACAGATCTAGTAATAATCGTCGTATCGTCTGCATATTCAACGATACGTATATCTTTAAAATCAGCTTGATCTTCATTGAAGTCTGGGACTTGGATTCCCTCTATTTTGGCGTTTTGTTTAATTCTTTTCCCTAAAACCTCTGCAATTATTATAAATAAAAGTGGAGAAAGTGGGCAACCTTGCCTAACGCCTCTTTCTATTGCGAATTTGTCGGATATCCAACCAAAATTTAAGACACGACCATGAGCACCATTATATAACGTTTCAATCCATCTTAAAAACGAATCTTTAAATTTAAGTTCCCGTAACAAGGACAATAAAAAAACATGACCAATGGTATCAAACGCTTTTTTGAAATCTAAGAACATCATAACAACTGGTTTGTTTGCTAAAAGACAATAATCAATAGTATCCTGAATTAGTCTGGTACATTCAGATGCAGAGCGGTTTTTTAAAAAACCAGCCTGATCCTGTGATACAAGTTTATATATAACTTTCTGTAATCGTATTGAAAGAATGCGAGCTGCAAGTTTATAATCAATGTTTAACAGCGAAATAGGTCGCCAATTATCTAAAACATTTTTGTTACCTTTCTTATATAATAGAGTAAGGATAGCTTGACTTTGTGTGCACGACAATTGTTGTTTGTCGTAACCCTCATTCAGACTGTCAATTACCATATGTTTTATATCCCCCCAGAAGCATTTATAAAATTTAACACTGAGTCCATCGCTTCCAGGTGATTTGTTCATCTTCATTGACTACAATGCTTCCCAGCATTCATTCTCTGTGATTTTCCCCTCACATAAATTTGCATCTTCTTCATTCAAAACATTTAAGTTGATATCAGATACGTATTCTTTAAATCCAGCCTCGGAATTATTTCCCTTATAGAGTTTACAATAAAATTCTCGTATACCTGTCAACATTTTCTGTTCATCTTTGATAATTTTTCCGTTACTTTCAAGACAATCTATTTCTTTTTTTTCCCTTTAGCTTTTTCAAGCTGAAGAAAATATCTTGTTGACTTTTCCCCAAATTCAAGCCACCTTGCCCGAGATCTCACAAATGCACCTTTGCACTGATATTCATACCACTTGTCTATCTTTTGTCTCAAACACTTCATTCTATCTATATCATATGCACATGAACCCTCATCTATTTTCTTACACAAGTTATCATATTCACTTTCCATATTAGCAATATATTTCTTTTTTCTTGTATTAACATCAGCTGTATATTTTGTACTAAATTCTTTAATTTTAATTTTACACATTTCCCACCTTAGCTGTTTATCAAATTGACTAAATTCAATATTAACCTTACGAATAATACGTTTAACATTTTCTTTAAACACTTCATCCTTCAGGATAGAATTATTCAGTTTCCAACAACCCTTTCCCTACTCTGTGCTAATATTTTAAGTTTCATGGATACCCCGTCAGATCGCATTTCAATACTGGTTTTATGTCGATTGAATAAATATATGAAAAATGCTCTTTCGACATGAGCCAATAATCTAGTCTTGAGTAAATGTTTAGTGACAGCTGCCTCCACGGAAACTGTTTCCTCTCTGGAAACATTTTTCTCCACACATCTACTTAGTTATTATTTTACCGAAATTTAACAAAATTCTGTTTTGGTAAATATGCATATGAGACTCCACTTGTGTCTAGTTTTTTGTTTTGTACACAATTCCAGTCTCCACCTGCGATCATAACGTCATTTAGTTTTTTAATCTTTTTCACCCATATACATAAAGATGAATAGAAATGTTCTTTCAGTGTGTTTTTTTCTGGAGCATACACATTTATACATGAATACATTCGATCTTGATACGAAAATCTCAGTGCAATAGCCCTACCATCACCTTTGAAATGTTTGTCGATGACCGTAATAGGGAGACCTTCCTTGACTAAGATTGCTACACCTTTGGAATGGTTTGTACCATGATCAAACAAGCAAAGTCCTTTCCATTCTTTAGATACTATATTTTCTACGTTTCTTGACAAAAAAGGTCTCTTGCAAAAACGCTATGTCGCACTTTTGGCGATGGAGCCAAAGGAATATTTTCTTTCGCTTCATCACTTCACGTATCCCTCGCACATTTAACGTAACAAAGTGAACATTGTTATCAATTTTATTTTTTACAGTTTCACAGTTGCTTTGTCCTTCGTTCATGTTGCTTCAGTGTCAATTTTCTGATTTATTTTTTGTAGTCACATTGTACTAGTATTTATTTCTTTTTCTTTGGTGATTTCTTCTTTCGTTTCAGAGGTATTCTTCCTTTAGTGGTCGAGTTTTCAGGGGGAGACTCAGGTGACAGAGATGAGTCATCCCCACCACTTGACTGTTTCTTGCGCGTGCTTGATTTCATCGCGAGTCTTGCTTTGCGGTTTCGCGTAATGGATCGCTCCATCTGATGCGTAGGTGGAAGATGATTCAATGCGTGAGGCCGATCGTGTTCTTCTTGGTGATCGCAGATCCAAGACATCGGCCGAGGCCGAGTCAGCATTGCTATTCTGCGCTGGCTACAATAATGCTGATATTGCTTTGAACACATTCGGAAAGAAAATGTTTGACCCAAAACCACTGTTTCTGTGAAGCCTTACATGACGTGTAATTTTCCGGACATGCACATGACTATTGTACAAAAATCGAATGTCAAACACTATTTAAAAATTATAAAACAATTAGAAGGCCATGATCTGTATCAGCCCTGTGCGTTGTAACTCTGGAATATTATGAGGAAATAGGGGGAAACGGGATTTTAAATCACAACCAAAAAATCCAAAAATAACCTCTATCTGGTAATATCAACATGTTTTTCCAAAAAAAAATGCATGTACAGTACACGAAACAACAATTTCAGATTATAAGCCAGAACTGCACATCTATTTTCCTCGCAGGACCTCGCAGAAACGACCTTGGAAATTCTCAGTACAGGTGCACTGAAAGTCATTGAGTTGATCTTGGCAAGTGCCGCCGTTCTGACATTCTACACTGGTACAGTCGTTATGGTTGTTTTCACACAGAGCACCTGAAATAGAATCATGGGAAACAAGAAATTGGTGAAATGGCAATGCAAAATACATCAACTACTCCTTACAACTCCAATAGTCCTTTCCGTTATTTTTTTTAATGTGGGAACATTACAATGACGTGATCATGCATGTCAGGTTATCAGGGACAATTTAATTTTGAAGTACCTGATGTAATCCGAACATTATTTCCATTCTAAAATTAGGCAATATCATGGGTCAGGCGCTTACGCAAGATTTTTTCAAGAGGAGGGGGGGGGGGGGTTTAAAATTTCGCATCGACTCAGCCAGTCGCTGAATAAGCGAGGGGGGGGAGGTAAAAAATCGCAACGACTCAGCCGGCCGCTGAATAAGCGGGGGCGGGGGGGGGGGGGGGGGGGGGGGGTAAGAGGACACTTTTTTTTTTGGTCTCGAAATTTGAAAATTTGACATTTTGCTCCGTTGGGGGGGGGGGGTACGTCGCCTTTTTTAAGTCAGCCATGGTAATAATTTTTTTTTTTAATTATTATTATTAAAAAAAAAAAAAAAAAAAAACAAAACAAAGGGGGGGGGGGGGTTTGGGGTTGTTTTTAGGGGGGTTTATACACATAAAAATATCAAAGGGGGGGGGGGGTTTAACCCCCTAAACCCCCCCCCCCCCCCCCCCCCCCTGCGTACGCGCCTGTCATGGGTATTGAAATTGCCCCGTGAGTTGATGTCTTGAAATCCTTTCCTTGTGTGATATGAGGAGGATTCGATCGTTGTAGTTTACCTGTAACGGATGTAGAAGCAGTTATACTGCTATCAACATTCTTAAATTGCCCTTTTCCTCATCGTGTTAATACTTTTTGAATAATTTTAGCCCCTCCAGGTTATTCTACTCTTGAAACAATGAAAGTAAGTATAAAAAAAGATAAATAAGATACCACTTACCAAAGGTCCCTGGAATACATTCGCAACGGTAACTGTTTACAAGGTCGATGCATGCACCTCCTTGCTGGCACGGGGATGATGCACATTCAGCTCTGTCCTATAGAAGATATGAAGAGAAAGAAATAGTGAGAGCGAGCGAGAGAGAGGGAGATCATAATATTAAACGAGTTTACCACTTTCATTAATTAACGACAAAAAAAATACTAAAGTTTGAAACATAATGTTTCTGTAGTCATTGTTACCATGTATTTTTCACATTTTTCATATTCGTTTTTATACATATCATACCAATGTTTTTAAAACAAAATATTCATATACCAATATGAATGACGTTTCCTGATAGATACATGTACAATTACAAACGTCATGTATATCCCTGATTAAAAGCAGATTCAAATGTTCATCAACTTGTTGCCATGCCTGATATTGAAACATAGGCTATACATGTAAATTTCGATTCCTAATGATACCAATGATTATTTTCTTACCTCGTCACACTCTATGCCGCCCCAACCTGGTACACAGAGCTTCTTACCCGTGAATTGTTCACAGGTGTATGTAGCACTATCCGCACAGTAGATATGACACCGAGGGCCAAAGTACCCATCCCCACAGTAGACTCTCATTCCTGTCTTCAACCTGTTCAAAAACATAGTATTACGGTTAAAAGTTGGAATTAAACCCGGACATCTGGGACGGCATTGTATTTATTAAAAAGATTAATGTGTTGCCAAAAGCCATATTGTTAAATATATAATGCTTTGTTGATTCAGCATGGAATATATGAATAAAAGCAACCCATGAAGCTGTGCGATGTCGGGGCCCGAACCCACAACCTTCCCATCTCCAATCGAGTGTTCAAACCACTCTATTACAAATCAAATTTTATTAATAGGTCAAAATACTGCATTGTTTAAACTATCACGTGCGGGATTTTACTTTATTTTATAGAAAGCTTTCATCAAATTTATTCTTTTTACATTTTCTTTATAATTCCTATTCATTCATCTCACATCAGCCGTTTCTTCATGCATTGCTCGCATAAGTTGATGGTAATAATCATCCCTTTTGTTCCATTTTTTAATAGAGAGAAACAAAAAATGCAGGAAGAAGGAAGGAGTAATTCGAAAGGAGGACACCTTACTTTCTATCGCCTGTTCCAGACAGATTGGGTTTCCATTGGATGGTGTACGCAAGGTTGGGGTCTGGGTAATAATTGATATTTTTCGTCAAAATATCCACTTCTTGCTCACCCACTACGTCGACGTCCCAGACGCGCACCTTGAATCGAACACCTCCCTGAGATAAACACACATACAACATTGGCATATTATATGTAAATTATCTTTTGATATAAGGCATCCATATGCACATAACTTACGAAGTACACACTCAGGACAGGCTGCATTTAAATCTACCTTACACAAACACAACAAATAACTGTTGGAGATTGAAATTTATTTTCTTTCTTTTTCTGTAATGTAAAAAAGGTCCAGCTGCTTAATCAAACTTCTGCACGGGAAGAAACGGAGGCATAGAAAATGGTCAATGCGGTCAACGGTCCATCCCATCTACGACTGTAAAGTGTATTTGAAAGTCAGATGAAAGTTGTTTTTTTTCAAGATCGCCCTCAAATGAGATGTTTTGCACTTTCGTCTTCATGAAATTATTTGAATGTAATACACCTCGTAAACGTTCGTCGCATCTTTGTTATATAGTTCGTATATTCTACATCATTACGCCTGGCGTTTTGAGCACACTTACACTAATCGAATTAACTAATCCAGGAGATGCAATTTGTGATAAGACCACGGAACACAAATTCTATAATTCAACGTGCATATCATTAACGAGATTGCTTTAGTGTCTTGCAAAATGTACACTTCTACCCAAGATTACTGTCTGTCTTTGTAATAATAATCAAATGACGTTCACAGAGTATACATCACGTGATCATTGAGCTGTAGGCATTGGGCTGGCAAGACATGAGCTCAGTTTACAATTTCATGGCATATGCACATGGAAAATGATGCTGTATCGGGGCATACTTGAGCATAGCGTCCCTTGGGACGATTTCGCAGCATCGATTTCTTTCAAAAATAATGCAAAATATCGACATGAAAAAAACATTACAATTTTGAATAGAGGTTTAGAATTTCCAAAATAAGAGCACATGAGGTCTTTACTTTCATTGCTTCCAATAGATCTTATTTTGACAAAGGAAATTGGCAACAACAAATTTGTTCACGTGACGATGTTATTTGAGGAAAATTACTAACAGTATGTTTATGAAGGTAGGGTTCACATGACTTTTTAAGTACTTCATTACAAAAGCTCCTCAATTACTAGCTCTTTCCGTTCTCTCTCTGTATAAAAAAATGTGACTCATGTTGCATATGATATATTTTTAATCCCCCGTCCTAATTCTGTTTGAAATCAGAAGCTAGCTAGGTGCTGCGTACCCTGCGGACCTAAAGGTTTCTCACTAGCAACAGCACATCAGGTCTGAAAGACGCAGCGTTACATGCTGGGTCTATGTCATTGTCCTGTCGTAAGGTTCTCCTCTCCCCGTTAGCGCCCTTAATCGCTTGCCAACTCTTTTGAATGGCATAGAGGATGGGATTAATGAATTCCTTGTCTAACGAGGAAATTGAATAAAGTTTATAATATTTGTGTCCAAGTAAAATGAATTGCACTATGTTTAAGGTCACTGAGTTAGCAGGTGTCATCTTTTTTTCCTTCATTGCAATGTAATTTGATGAACACTCGTGTTATTACAATAAAGGACAACAAGCTACTTCGTTGTATCCTTTCAGAAACAATACAATAGACATGATTATTCATGGTTGTACATTCGATCCTTTAACATCACTCACAAGTCCAGTAAACCGATGGTCGACAAAACATGTGATCCGTCATCATTTTGCTTGGGCGAAAAATTGTGTCTAAAAGGTATAAGATTATGGTTGGGGTTCCAATTGAGTTTGAGGCTATACGGTTGAGGTTAATGTAATTTGGTATAGTGTTTGATCCAGGGTTGAAGCTAAAATTCAGGAAATTGACCGTGGAACATTGTTGCTGGAGCATATGTCGCACATCCACAAATGTTAGCCATTCTTGATAGAGTCATTTTGTTCTCTCTGTTGCCGGTCTGTTGTCGGTCTGTTGCCGGTCTATTATCGGTCTGTTATTGGTCTGTTGTCGGTCAGGCGTTAGTTTCATCGGAGTGACTGAGATACAGTGATGTATTATTATGACCTACCCATGTATCAGGTATGGAGATAGTCAGTGGATTCGGAAGACTGCTGCCATCTTGCATCAGTAAGGAAGAAGGAAACGTGATTTGATCCGAGTTGTCCACTATCTTCGTTGTATTCGCCGAGAAGAATGAGCACAGTGTCATGTCGACGTCACTGTAATAGATACACATGTACAAACACATATGAGCTTTTTAAGTAATGCCAAATGACACGAGGCGTCATTTCAATTGCATTATAACCTATGATGATTACATACCATAAAGGAGTGGTCTTGCTTACGAAACGCGCACCCCCTCCCTTCCCAACACAATTTTCACGTCCCTTGCCGTCTTCATTTTTTCGCGATTAGGGTTTAGGATGACCGTCCCCATCCCCTAGATTTGCACTCGATTATACATAATTATATTACATTCATTAGGAGACAATGTGATTTTTTTTCTTCTTGATAGGCTAATACTAAGTATAGATATAGTTATGTAACCGGAAGTTACACCCGTTCATAATTATGTAATATTCATGGAGCATCAAAATACTTTCAAAATAGACCCCAGCCACACCAATGAGACTAACATCAGACCGACTACAGACTGAACGAATATTTACATTATCCACAATGGCCCAAACTTGGTCGGTTAGAAATTAGTCTAGAGGTGTGACTGAGATTTCATCAAGATTGTATGGGGGAGAGAATATGGAGAGCCATGACATTGGGCCTCTGAAAGGAGTACACCCTTGCGCTTAATTGCCACAACCATCTCTCTCATTACGCTATGATCTTACCTCCCCTGACGAGAGACGCAGATCTCGAACCTGTTATCACACTTGTCTCTGCATACCCCTGATGCACCGGCATCGCAGCAGTCCCCTCCACTCAGTCGGCTGGTGGGATTATGATAACTCAAGAGTGACAACTGAATCATGGTCACCCCTGCTACCATTGAGAGACTCTGTGAGAGGAGAAATGAGAGAAATGGACATGGCGAACAGAAATCATGAGACTTAATTCTTTGATAAATGAACAATTTTCCAATAAAACAAACATGTTTTCAAGAAAACGAAAGAAAGAGAGATAAAGAGAAACTGTATATATGCGCATGATATTATGCTGAAGTTCAAGAAGCACTGTACGAGAGAGAAAAAAATCTACAGTTTTTTCTTTTTAAATCCCTGATAAATGGTTTATTGATATCGACATAGTAACTTTGGTCATTTCATTTATGATCAAGAATTTTCCCGAAAGAGTGATAACTTTATATAATATTACAGACGTTTTTTTGTTTTAATCCCTGATTTTATACAACGTATTCTTACAGATGGCTCAACGGTGGCTAATAGTTTACCTAAAGGCCGACAAATGAGGCTTTCGCGGTGCGGCTTGTTCTCTGATGATCTGACGATTGACAGCATTTCAGTCGCAATTGTTTGTTTTTTTTTTTTTTTTTTGTTAATACCAGTTTGCGTTTTTTATCAATCTGCGGTACAAATCTATATTGGAAGATAACCGATGATGAATTGACCACATGACTTGTTAACTTTTCGTGGCTGACTCAGGGACAGGGGGTGTGCCTATAACCCCTAGAAAATGCGTATCTGGTATACTCTAGTACAACAACGTAGGCCCTTATTTGTGCCCCTCCCCCCTTTCCGGCAGCACCTTAGATCCCCAAAAGGCACGTGTTTTTTTGTTTTATCCGTATGTCGCAGATTTTACTGAATTTTTCTACCCCTCCCCCAGGAATTCTGGATGAACTTCACTGCGGCATTGTTTTATCTTCAACGTGATGTGTCACATTGTGATGAATCATCTCACCGTCTACCCATGGTCTATATCATGTAAACGTAGACGTGTAAATATTTATTTTCTCCATATTATGTTGAAATATGTTATATTGATGCTATGTTGTAAATATGTTTGTACTCCCATACCCCGAAAGGGGGTCGATAGAGTGAACATTGTTATCAATCTTATTTTTTACAGTTTCACAGTTGCTTTGTCCTTCGTTCATGTTGCTTCAGTGTCAATTTTCTGATTTATTTTTTGTAGTCACATTGTACTAGTATTTATTTCTTTTTCTTTGGTGATTTCTTCTTTCGTTTCAGAGGTATTCTTCCTTTTAATAGTGGTCGAAGTTTTCGGGGGAGACTCAGGTGACAGAGATGAGTCATCCTCACCCCTTGACTGTTGACTGCGCGTGCTTGATTTCATCGCGAGTCTTGCTTTGCGGTTTCGCATAATGGATCGCTCCATCTGATGCGTAGGTGGAAGATGATTCAATGCGTGAGGCCGATCGTGTTCTTCTGGGTGATCGCAGATCCAAGACTTCGGCCGAGGCCGAGTCAGCATTGCTATTCTGCGCTGGCTACAATAATGCTGATATTGCTTTGAACACATTCGGAAAGAAAATGTTTGACCCAAAACCACTGTTTCTGTGAAGCCTTACATGACATGTAGTTTTTCGTAAATGTACATGACTATATTGTACAAAAATCGAATGTCAAACACTGTTTAAAAATGCAAGATCATCAGAACGCTAAAGATTGAAGCAAAAGATTCCGTTGCCAGCGCCTCGAGATGAATCCGTGAATATGTAACCTTCCTGTATACCATATCACAGCAGTAAGCTGAGTTCTGATTAAATTGTAGATCTACCTGAGATATGAAAACAGTTTATATCTCACAGAAATCATGTCCGAATTGCGTAAGACGTCAATGTAATGTGCAACTGACAAAGCTATTGCAATTGCCTAACGTTTACTTTTCGAAATTTTTTGCGATCGTGCGTGTTATAGTTTAACCTAACTCTATAGAGTTAATAATGATACCATACTGATAGCATGGACTTAATATGGATGGACATTCAACGTGATTCTTTCTTTGATCCAATCATAGTCGCCGCCTTCTGATTATGTGCATCTTAATGAGAACATTCAGCTGTTTTAACAATAACGACTGCGTAAGCATTTTCGGTCATTGACATTGACAAAGGAGCAGTTTCCCTCTCTTGGGTTTTGCTTGGATGGTATGCTCTGTAAGAGTGTGTCTTAAATAAAAGCATCCTCAATGGGGAGCAGCAAAGTTGAAAAGCAGACGATATTGGTGATATGAAATGTATTATTACTGATTCGCAAACTTTCGCACACACCTATCTATAATAGTAATACGCTAAGGCTCCGCGGGGGGGCATGACGTCTCCGCCGGCCTTTGTATTCTATTGTTTTTTAATGAGATCGCCGACCGAAGTTGGTGCAGCTATCTCCTCCTGAACCCTCCCCTCGGGGTACCGATGACCGGTGCCGTAGTCCGCGGGAGAGTCTACTCTGTCGAATTGGCTATACTCCGCCCGAGGTCCTCCTCCGTGTCGACGTCCAGGGCGAAAACAGACGCGACATGCATAATGCAGGATATGCGTGACGACAGAGATACCTCATGGATATTCAACATTACATCCGTAGACACACGACCGATGACCATCCACTCACATTAAGTTGCGTATTCAATGCACGATGTACAGGGTCGGATATCCTTTGTAGTAGCTGCACAAGCCACAGAGATACACACGAAGCTTCCCGTCCACGTCCAAACTTAGAGACCTATTTCCATCATTATTGCGATTTTTATATAGTTTTCGTGAATGGAGGTATGAAATCAAAGCTTATTTTGTGATTATGACGGTTATGTATACTACATTTTGATTATCATTTTCTAAAGGAAAGTTTTCACAAGAAAACCATTGGACTGACAGTGCAGTCGCAAGCTGCCTTCAGTCCTCACACATACAGTACACACAGTGCAGTGTAACACCGGCACCGCGCACCGCAGGCGTCCGAGGCCTGCGGCGTCGGTGTTCGAGCTTCCTGGAGTTACGCTGGAGTGTGTGTGAGTTCAGCTGAGCTGAGCTCGAGTCGAAGAGATTTGACACTTTTTTTGAAATTTTTATCTGTTGGTTTGCATCATTATTGCCGCGATTTCAATATAGTTTCGTGAATAGATTTACGAAACCTGAGCTTCGAATTAGTAAAAGTATTACTAATGTCTACGTTTTTAAACGACTGTCTGATTTTCTTGTGAAAATTTTACTTTGAAAAATGATTATCGAAATTCATGGTCAGAAATAATCACAATCTAGGGTCTATTAATTATGTTACAGTTCTTGCATCAAATCAATGCATGAAAACTTAGTTATTGAACTAGAAAAATGTTTTTTTTTTTTTTAAATAGGCAATTATGAAGTAGGAAGCCTGAAACCTTAGCCTACTAAACAAATCTCAACAAAGTGTAGGCCTATCCTTTTATGAATTAATGAAAACGTAGCCCCAGAAAAAAGAGCCCCCGAAAGTTGAAAAAGTAGCCCCCGAAAATTTCCCAAAAATTTGAAATGGAGCCCCCCGAAATGAAAAAAAAATTAATTTTTTGCCTGCGCCCCCCCCCCCTCTAGAATCAGGCGGATTTCCGCGGGTCCTGAGTTGAGTGTATATATATAATATAGGCGTGGGGTCCACGGGTTTCAAGGGGCCATAAACCCCCAAAAGCTCGGGGGTTACGTTCTTCAAAGTTGGGGGGGGGGGGAGAGATCAGATCAGAGGGTTTAGGCGTTTAATTAGGGTCAGATGAGCATATTTTTAATACTTTATTTGTGACACTTGCGGGTCACTAATTGGCGTGGGGTCAATACGTAGAGTTGCGTAGTGTTGTGTACCAACTACGCTGGCCTACGTTACTATATGCTGAGGGACGGAAAGAGGTACGCAAGATGAACGAAAACAATTCAACATGTTTAATTTTTTTCGCGTAGTTTCGGCGTAGAAACTTGACGCAGAAAGTACGCCTTTTTACGCAACACTACGCTACATGACTACGCAACAGTACGCTACCCTACGCCAGATCGTCAAAGCAGTAAAAGCTTTCTACACAGTAAGCAACCATAAGCAAACCTGTACGCCAGCCTACGCATAACATACGCAGGGACTATTTTCCCATTAATACGCAGCCTAATTTCTGCGTAGTCGGTACGCCACACTACGGAACTCTACGCAGTTCCAGTGGCTTAAAGAATAACTACAGGTACAGTTGGATCGTTTTTTTTTTTTTTTTTTATATAAGGCCAAATTAGAAAAAAAACATGTTTAGCGTCCTATTTTTTCGAAAAATGGGAAGGAGGAGGCCCTTTTTTTTTTCTTTCTTTCTTTCAAATGGCCGCTCCGTACATTTTCCCTGACATTCGGGCTATTTTTCAAGATGGCGGCCGACAATTTTTTTTTCTTTTTTTAAATCAGAAATACATTTTAGCAGTGCTTTTCATGTTTTTTTTCTTTCAAAAAAAAAAAAAATAAATAAATAAATAAAAATAGGAGGCGGGGACGCTGTTTTTTTTTCTTTCTTTCAAAAAAAAATAAAATAAAATAAAAAAAATATTAAACAAAATTTCAAAAAAAAAAAAAAAGGAGGCGGCCCCCAAAAAGGAAGCGGGCGGGGACGCTAAACATGTATATTTTTTTAATGGCCTGAATGGCAAATAAAGTTCTTGGTGGTTTTAATTTAGGCAGTCTCTATATATCTATTTACACCCCCCGCCCCCCTCTAGATCGAATCCCGTTGATTTCCGCGGGTCCTGCTAGTGACTTTATAAAACAATTAGAAGGCCATGATCTGTATCAGCCCTGTGCGTTGTAACTCTGGAATATTATGAGGAAATAGGGGGAAACGGGATTTTAAATCACAACCAAAAAATCCAAAAATAACCTCTATCTGGTAATATCAACATGTTTTTCCAAAAAAAATGCATGTACAGTACACGGAACAACAATTTCAGAATATAAGCCAGAACTGCACATCTATTTTCCTCACAGGACCTCGCAGAAACGACCTTGGAAATTCTCAGTACAGGTGCACTGAAAGTCATTGAGTTGATCTTGGCAAGTGCCGCCGTTCTGACATTCTACACTGGTACAGTCGTTATGGTTGTTTTCACACAGAGCACCTGAAATTGAATCATGGGAAACAAGAAATTGGTGAAATGGCAATGCAAAATACATCAACTACTCCTTACAACTCCAATAGTCCTTTCCGTTATTTTTTTTAATGTGGGAACATTACAATGACGTGATCATGCATGTCAGGTTATCAGGGACAATTTAATTTTCAAGTACTTGATGTAATCCGAACATTATTTCCATTCTAAAATTAGGCAATTCATGGGTCAGGCGCGTACGCAGGATTTTTTCAAGGGGGGGGGGGGGGGGGGGAGTTTAACATTTTTAAATCGGGCCGAAAATTTCGCATCGACTCAGCCAGTCGCTGAATAAGCGAGGGGGGGAGGTAAAAAAATGGCAACGACTCAGCCGGCCGCTGAATAAGCGGGGGGGGGGGGGGGGGGGGTAAGAGGACACTTTATTTTTTTTTGGTCTCGAAATTTGAAAATTTGACATTTTGCTCCGTTGGGGGAGGGGGTAGGTCGCCTTTTTTAAGTCAGCCATGGGAATAATTTTTTTTTTAAAATTATTATTATTAACAAAAAAACAAAAAAAACCAAAGGTAAGGGGGGTTTGGGGTTGTTTTTAGGGGGGTTATACACATAAAAAATACCAAGGGGGGGGGTTCAACCCCCCCAAACACCCCCCCTCCCCCCCTGCGTACGCGCCTGTCATGGGTATTGAAATTGCCCCGTGAGTTGATGTCTTGAAATTCTTTCCTTGTGTGATATGAGTAGGATTCGATCGTTGTAGTTTACCTGTAACGGATGTAGAAGCAGTAATACTGCTATCAACATTCTTAAATTGCCCTTTTCCTCATCGTGTTAATAATTTTTGAATAATTTTAGCCCCTCCAGGTTATTCTACTCTTAAAACAATGAAAGTAAATATAAAAAAAGATAAATAAGATCCACTTACCAAAGGTCCCTGGAATACATTCGCAACGGTAACTGTTTACAAGGTCGATGCATGCACCTCCTTGCTGGCACGGGGATGATGCACATTCAGCTATGTCCTATAGAAGATATGAAGAGAAAGAAATAGTGAGAGCGAGCGAGAGAGAGGGAGATCATAATATTAAACGAGTTTACCACTTTCATTAATTAACGACAAAAAAAATACTAAAGTTTGAAACATAATGTTTCTGTAGTCATTGTTACCATGTATTTTTCACATTTTTCATATTCGTTTTTATACATATCATACCAATGTTTTTAAAACAAAATATTCATATACCAATATGAATGACGTTTCCTGATAGATACATGTACAATTACAAACGTCATGTATATCCCTGATTAAAAGCAGATTCAAATGTTCATCAACTTGTTGCCATGTCTGATATTGAAACATAGGCTATACATGTAAATTTCGATTCCTAATGATACCAATGATTATTTTCTTACCTCGTCACACTCTATGCCGCCCCAACCTGGTACACAGAGCTTCTTACCCGTGAATGGTTCACAGGTGTATGTAGCACTATCCGTACAGTAGACATGACACCGAGGGCCATAGGACCCATCCCCACAGTAGACTCTCATTCCTGTCTTCAACCTGTTCAAAAACATAGTATTACGGTTAAAAGTTGGAATTAAACCCGGACATCTGGGACGGCATTGTATTTATTAAAAAGATTAATGTGTTGCCAAAAGCCATATTGTTAAATATATCATGCTTTGTTGATTCAGCATGGAATATATGAATAAAAGCAACCCATGAAGCTGTGCGATGTCGGGGCCCGAACCCACAACCTTCCCATCTCCAATCGAGTGTTCAAACCACTCTATTACAAATCAAATTTTATTAATGGGTCAAAATACTGCATGGTTTAAACTATCATGTGCGGGATTTTACTTTATTTTATAGAAAGCTTTCATCAAATTTATTCTTTTTACATTTTCTTTATAATTCCTATTCATTCATCTCACATCAGCCGTTTCTTCATGCATTGCTCGCATAAGTTGATGGTAATAATCATCCCTATTGTTCCATTTTTAATAGAGAGAAACAAAAAATGCAGAAAGAAGGAAGGAGTAATTCGAAAGGAGGACACCTTACTTTCTATCGCCTGTTCCAGACAGATTGGGTTTCCATTGGACAGTGTACGCAAGGTTGGGGTCTGGGTAAAAATTGATATTTTTCGTCAAAATATCCACTTCTTGCTCACCCACTACGTCGACGTCCCAGACGCGCACCTTGAATCGAACACCTCCCTGAGATAAACACACATACAACATTGGCATATTATATGTAAATTATCTTTTGATATAAGGCATCCATATGCACATAACTTACGAAGTACACACTCAGGACAGGCTGCATTTAAATCTACCTTACACAAACACAACAAATAACTGTTGGAGATTGAAATTTATTTTCTTTCTTTTTCTGTAATTTAAAAAAGGTCCAGCTGCTTAATCAAACTTCTGCACGAGAAGAAACGGAGGCATAGAAAATGGTCAATGCGGTCAACGGTCCATCCCATCTACGACTGTAAAGTGTATTTGAAAGTCAGATGAAAGTTGTTTTTTTTCAAGATCGCCCTCAAATGAGATGTTTTGCACTTTCGTCTTCATGAAATTTATTTGAATGTAATACACCTCGTAAACGTTCGTCGCATGTTTGTTATATAGTTCGTATATTCTACATCATTACGCCTGGCCTTTTGAGCACACTTACACTAATCGAATTAACTAATCCAGGAGATGCAATTTGTGATAAGACCACGGAACACAAATTCTATAATTCAACGTGCATATCATTAACGAGATTGCTTTAGTGTCTTGCAAAATGTACACTTCTACCCAAGATTACTGTCTGTCTTTGTAATAATAATCAAATGACGTTCACAGAGTAGACATAACGTGGTCAATAAGCTGTAGGCATTGGGCTGGCAAGACATGAGCTCAGTTTACAATTTGATGGCATATGCACATGGAAAATGAGGCTGTATCGGGGCATACTTGAGCATAGCGTCCCTTGGGACGATTTCGCAGCATCGATTTCTTTCAAAAATAATGCAAAATATCGACATGAAAAAAACATTACAATTTTGAATAGAGGTTTAGAATTTCCAAAATAAGAGCACATGAGGTCTTTACTTTCATTGCTTCCAATAGATCTTATTTTGACAAAGGAAATTGGCAACAACAAATTTGTTCACGTGACGATGTCATTTGAGGAAAATTACTAACAGTATGTTTATGAAGGTAGGGTTCACATGACTTTTTAAGTACTTTAAGTAGCTCCTCAATTACTAACTCTTTTCGTTCTCTCTCTGTATAAAAAAAATGTGACTCATGTTGCATATGATATATTTTTAATCCCCCGTCCTAATTCTGTTTGAAATCAGAAGCTAGCTAGGTGCTGCGTACCCTGCGGACCTAAAGGTTTCTCACTAGCAACAGCACATCAGGTCTGAAAGATGCAGCGTTACATGCTGGGTCTATGTCATTGTCCTTTCGTAAGGTTCTCCTCTCCCCGTTTGCGCCCTTAATCGCTTGCCAACTCTTTTGAATGGCATAGAGGATGGGATTATTAAATGAATTCCTTGTCTAACGAGGAAATTGAATAAAGTTTATAATATTTGTGTCCAAGTAAAATGAATTGCACTATGTTTAAGGTTAATGTTTTTTGAGTTAGCAGGTGTCATCTTTTTTTTCCTTCATTGCAATGTAATTTAATGAACACTCGTGTTATTACAATAAAGGAAAACAAGCTACTTCGTTGTATCCTTTCAGAAACAATACAATAGACAGGATTATTCATGGTTGTACATTCAATCCTTTAAAATAACTCACAAGTCCAGTAAACCGACTCCAAACCGACCGATGGTCGACAAAACAGGCGATCCGTCATTATTTTGCTTGGGCGAAAAATTGTGTCTAAAAGGTATAAGATTATGGTTGGGGTTCCAATTGAGTTTGAGGCTATACGGTTGGGGTTAATGTAATTTGGTATAGTGTTTGATCCAGGGTTGAAGCTAAAATTCAGGGAAATTGACCGTGGAACATTGTTGTTGGAGCATGTGTCGCTCATCCACAAATGTTAGCCATTCTTGATAGAGTCATTTTGTTCTTTCTGTTGCCGGTCTGTTGTCGGTCTGTTGCCGGTCTGTTGTCGGTCTGTTGTCGACACGAGGCGTCATTTCAATTGCATTATAACCTATGATAATTACATACCATAAAGGAGTGGTCTTGCTTACGAAACGCGCATTATCGGTCTGTTATTGGTCTGTTGTCGGTCAGGCGTTAGTTTCATCGGAGTGACTGAGATACAGTGATGTATTATTATGACCTACCCATGCATCAGGTATGGAGATAGTCAGTGGATTCGGAAGACTGCTGCCATCTTGCATCAGTAAGGAAGAAGGAAACGTGATTTGATCCGAGTTGTCCACTATCTTCGTCGTATTCGCCGAGAAGAAAGAGCACAGTGTCATGTCGACGTCACTGTAATAGATACACATGTACAAACACATATGAGCTTTTTAAGTAATGCCAAATGACACGAGGCGTCATTTCAATTGCATTATAACCTATGATGATTACATACCATAAAGGAGTGGTCTTGCTTACGAAACGCGCACCCCCCCCCTCCCTTCCCAACACAATTTTCACGTCCCTTGCCGTCTTCATTTTTCCACGATTAGGGTTTAGGATGACCGTCCCCATCCCCTAGATTTGCACTCGATTATACATAATTATATTACATTCATTAGGAGACAATGTGATTTTTTCTTCTTGATAGGCTAATACTAAGTATAGATATAGTTATGTAACCGGAAGTTACACCCGTTCATAATTATGTAATATTCATGGAGCATCAAAATACTTTCAAAATAGACCCCAGCCACACCAATGAGACAAACATCAGACCGACTACAGACTGAACGAATATTTACATTATCCACAATGGCCCAAACTTGGTCGGTTAGAAATTAGTCTAGAGGTGTGACTGAGATTTCATCAAGATTGTATGGGGGAGAGAATATGGAGAGCCATGACAATGGGCCTCTGAAAGGAGTACACCCTTGCGCTTAATTGCCACAACCATCTCTCTCATTACGCTATGATCTTACCTCCCCGGACGAGAGACGCAGATCTCGAACCTGTTATCACACTTGTCACTGCATACCTCCGACGCACCGGCATCGCAGCAGTCCCCTCCACTCAGTCGGCTGGCGGGATTATGGTAGCTCAAGAGTGACAACTGAATCATGGTCACCCCTGCTACCATTGAGAGACTCTGTGAGAGGAGAAACGAGAGGATTGGACATTGTGAACTGAAATCATGAGACTTAATTTCTTTGATAATTGAACAATTTCCCCATAAAACAAACATGTTTTCAGAAAAAAACGAAAGAGAGATAAAGATAAACTGTGCATATGCGCATGATATTATGCTGACCTTCAAGAAGCACTGTACGAGAGGAAAAATATCTACAGTTTTTTTCTTTTTAAATCCCTGATAAATGGTCTATTGATATCGACATAGTAACTTTGGTCATTTCATTTATGATCAAGAATTTTCCCGAAAGAGTGATAACTTTATATAATATTACAGACGTTTTTTTTTTGTTTTAATCCCTGATTTTATACAACGTATTCTTACAGATGGCTCAACGGTGGCTAATGGTTTACCTAAAGGCCGACAAATAAGGCTTTCGCGGTGCGGCTTGTTCATTAATGATCTGACGATTGACGGGATGGAAGATGATTCAATGCGTGAGGCCGATCGTGTTCTTCTGGGTGATCGCAGATCCAAGACTTCGGCCGAGGCCGAGTCAGCATTGCTATTCTGCGCTGGCTACAATAATGCTGATATTGCTTTGAACACATTCGGTAAGAAAATGTTTGACCCAAAACCACTGTTTCTGTGAAGCCTTACATGACATGTAGTTTTTCGTTAATGTACATGACTATATTGTACAAAAATCGAATGTCAAACACTGTTTAAAAATGCAAGATCATCAGAACGCTAAAGATTGAAGCAAAAGATTCCGTTGCCAGCGCCTCGAGATGAATCCGTGAATATGTAACCTTCCTGTATACCATATCACAGCAGTAAGCTGAGTTCTGATTAAATTGTAGATCTACCTGAGATATGAAAACAGTGTATATCTCACAGAAATCATGTCCGAATTGCGTAAGACGTCAATGTAATGTACAACTGACAAAGCTATTGCAATTGCCTAACGTTTACTTTTCGAAAGTTTTTGCGATCGTGCGTGTTATAGTTTAACCTAACTCTATAGAGTTAATAATGATACCATACTGATAGCATGGACTTAATATGGATGGACATTCAACGTGATTCTTTCTTTGATCCAATCATAGTCGCCGCCTTCTGATTACGTGCATCTTAATGAGAACATTCAGCTGTTTTAACAATAACGACTGCGTAAGCATTTTCGGTCATTGACATTGACAAAGGAGCAGTTTCCCTCTCTTGGGTTTTGTTTGGATGGTGTGCTCTGTAAGAGTGTGTCTTAAATAAAAGCATCCTCAATGGGGAGCAGCAAAGTTGAAAAGCAGACGATATTGGTGATATGAAATGTATTATTACTGATTCGCAAACTTTCGCACACACCTATGAATTTATAAAACAATTAGAAGGCCATGATCTGTATCAGCCCTGTGCGTTGTAACTCTGGAATATTATGAGGAAATAGGGGGAAACGGGATTTTAAATCACAACCAAAAAATCCAAAAATAACCTCTATCTGGTAATATCAACATGTTTTTCCAAAAAAAATGCATGTACAGTACACGGAACAACAATTTCAGATTATAAGCCAGAACTGCACATCTATTTTCCTCACAGGACCTCGCAGAAACGACCTTGGAAATTCTCAGTACAGGTGCACTGAAAGTCATTGAGTTGATCTTGGCAAGTGCCGCCGTTCTGACATTCTACACTGGTACAGTCGTTATGGTTGTTTTCACACAGAGCACCTGAAATAGAATCATGGGAAACAAGAAATGAGTGAAATGGCAATGCAAAATACATCAACTACTCCTTACAACTCCAATAGTCCTTTCCGTTATTTTTTTTAATGTGGGAACATTACAATGACGTGATCATGCATGTCAGGTTATCAGGGACAATTTAATTTTCAAGTACTTGATGTAATCCGAACATTATTTCCATTCTAAAATTAGGCAATATCATGGGTATTGAAATTGCCCCGTGAGTTGATGTCTTGAAATTCTTTCCTTGTGTGATATGAGTAGGATTCGATCGTTGTAGTTTACCTGTAACGGATGTAGAAGCAGTAATACTGCTATCAACATTCTTAAATTGCCCTTTTCCTCATCGTGTTAATACTTTTTGAATAATTTTAGCCCCTCCAGGTTATTCTACTCTTAAAACAATGAAAGTAAATACAAAAAAGATAAATAAGATACCACTTACCAAAGGTCCCTGGAATACATTCGCAACGGTAACTGTTTACAAGGTTGATGCATGCACCTCCTTGCTGGCACGGGGATGATGCACATTCAGCTATGTCCTATAGAAGATATGAAGAGAAAGAAATAGTGAGAGCGAGCGAGAGAGAGGGAGATCATAATATTAAACGAGTTTACCACTTTCATTAATTAACGACAAAAAAATACTAAAGTTTGAAACATAATGTTTCTGTAGTCATTGTTACCATGTATTTTTCACATTTTTCATATTCGTTTTTATACATATCATACCAATGTTTTTAAAACAAAATATTCATATACCAATATGAATGACGTTTCCTGATAGATACATGTACAATTACAAACGTCATGTATATCCCTGATTAAAAGCAGATTCAAATGTTCATCAACTTGTTGCCATGTCTGATATTGAAACAATACAATACAATACAATAAAGTCATTTATATAGCGCTCTTACGAACTAACTGTTGTTTCACAGCGCTTTACATAAAAAGTTATAGAATCTATTGTTGATCATGGTCAAAGAGGAGAGTTTTTAGACATTTTCGGAAGACATCCAGCGATGGTGCTAATCGAATAAAACGTGGAAGCTCATTCCAGAGTCGTGGAGCACATGCATGAAAAGCATTGTCGCCAGCTTTAGTGTATGTTCGAGGAACGTGCAGCAGGGTGCTGTCAGTACACGAGCGAAGGCCAGGACGAGCAGATTGATAGGGTACTATGAGAGAATTGAGATACACTGGAGCCTTGTTTTGGATGCACTTGTAGACAACCGTCAGGATCTTGAACTCAATGCGTTGCTTGATTGGAAGCCAATGTAGTTCTTTAAGCAACGGGGTGACATGATCGTGCATAGGCTATACATGTAAATTTCGATTCCTAATGATACCAATGATTATTTTCTTACCTCGTCACACTCTATGCCGCCCCAACCTGGTACACAGAGCTTCTTACCCGTGAATTGTTCACAGGTGTATGTAGCACTATCCGCACAGTAGATATGACACCGAGGGCCAAAGTACCCATCCCCACAGTAGACTCTCATTCCTGTCTTCAACCTGTTTAAAAACATAGTATTACGGTTAAAAGTTGGAATTAAACCCGGACATCTGGGACGGCATTGTATTTATTAAAAAGATTAATGTGTTGCCAAAAGCCATATTGTTAAATATATCATGCTTTGTTGATTCAGCATGGAATATATGAATAAAAGCAACCCATAAAGCTGTGCAATGTCGGGGCCCGAACCCACAACCTTCCCATTTCCAATCGAGTGTTCAAACCACTCTATTACAAATCAAATGTTATTAATGGGTCAAAATACTGCATTGTTTAAACTATCACGTGCGGGATTTTACTTTATTTTATAGAAAGCTTTCATCAAATTTATTCTTTTTACATTTTCTTTATAATTCCTATTCATTCATCTCACATCAGCCGTTTCTTGATGCATTGCTCGCATAAGTTGATGGTAATAATCATCCCTTTTGTTCCATTTTTTAATAGAGAGAAACAAAAAATGCAGAAAGAAGGAAGGAGTAATTCGAAAGGAGGACACCTTACTTTCTATCGCCTGTTCCAGACAGATTGGGTTTCCATTGGATGGTGTACGCAAGGTTGGGGTCTGGGTAATAATTGATATTTTTCGTCAAAATATCCACTTCTTGCTCACCCACTACGTCGACGTCCCAGACGCGCACCTTGAATCGAACACCTCCCTGAGATAAACACACATACAACATTGGCATATTATATGTAAATTATCTTTTGATATAAGGCATCCATATGCACATAACTTACGAAGTACACACTCAGGACAGGTTGCATTTAAATCTACCTTACACAAACACAACAAATAACTGTTGGAGATTGAAATTTATTTTCTTTCTTTTTCTGTAATTTAAAAAAGGTCCAGCTGCTTAATCAAACTTCTGCACGAGAAGAAACGGAGGCATAGAAAATGGTCAATGCGGTCAACGGTCCATCCCATCTACGACTGTAAAGTGTATTTGAAAGTCAGATGAAAGTTGTTTTTTTTCAAGATCGCCCTCAAATGAGATGTTTTGCACTTTCGTCTTCATGAAATTTATTTGAATGTAATACACCTCGTAAACGTTCGTCGCATCTTTGTTATATAGTTCGTATATTCTACATCATTACGCCTGGCGTTTTGAGCACACTTACACTAATCGAATTAACTAATCCAGGAGATGCAATTTGTGATAAGACCACGGAACACAAATTCTATAATTCAACGTGCATATCATTAACGAGATTGCTTTAGTGTCTTGCAAAATGTACACTTCTACCCAAGATTACTGTCTGTCTTTGTAATAATAATCAAATGACGTTCGCAGAGTAGACATCACGTGATCATTGAGCTGTAGGCATTGGGCTGGCAAGACATGAGCTCAGTTTACAATTTCACGGCATATACACATGGAAAATGAGGCTGTATCGGGGCATACTTGAGCATAGCGTCCCTTGGGACGATTTCGCAGCATCGATTTCTTTCAAAAATAATGCAAAATATCGACATGAAAAAAACATTACAATTTTGAATAGAGGTTTAGAATTTCCAAAATAAGAGCACATGAGGTCTTTACTTTCATTGCTTCCAATAGATCATATTTTGACAAAGGAAATTGGCAACAACAAATTTGTTCACGTGACGATGTCATTTGAGGAAAATTACTACCAGTATGTTTATGAAGGTAGGGTTCACATGACTTTTTAAGTACTTCATTACAAAAGCTCCTCAATTACTAGCTCTTTCCGTTCTCTCTCTGTATAAAAAAAATGTGACTCATGTTGCATATGATATATTTTTAATCCCCCGTCCTAATTCTGTTTGAAATCAGAAGCTAGCTAGGTGCTGCGTACCCTGCGGACCTAAAGGTTTCTCACTAGCAACAGCACATCAGGTCTGAAAGACGCAGCGTTACATGCTGGGTCTATGTCATTGTCCTTTCGTAAGGTTCTCCTCTCCCCGTTAGCGCCCTTAATCGCTTGCCAACTCTTTTGAATGGCATAGAGGATGGGATTAATGAATTCCTTGTCTAACGAGGAAATTGAATAAAGTTTATAATATTTGTGTCCAAGTAAATGAATTGCACTATGTTTAAGGTCACTGAGTTAGCAGGTGTCATCTTTTTTTTCCTTCATTGCAATGTAATTTAATGAACACTCGTGTTATTACAATAAAGGACAACAAGCTACTTCGTTGTATCCTTTCAGAAACAATACAATAGACATGATTATTCAAGGTTGTACATTCGATCCTTTAACATCACTCACAAGTCCAGTAAACCGACTCCAAACCGACCGATGGTCGACAAAACAGGCGATCCGTCATTATTTTGCTTGGGCGAAAAATTGTGTCTAAAAGGTATAAGATTATGGTTGGGGTTCCAATTGAGTTTGAGGCTATACGGTTGAGGTTAATGTAATTTGGTATAGTGTTTGATCCAGGGTTGAAGCTAAAATTCAGGAAATTGACCGTGGAACATTGGTGCTGGAGCATGTGTCGCACATCCACAAATGTTAGCCATTCTTGATAGAGTCATTTTGTTCTTTTTGTTGCCGGTCTGTTGTCGGTCTGTTATTGGTCTGTGGTCGGTCAGGCGTTAGTTTCATCGGAGTGACTGAGATACAGTGATGTATTATTATGACCTACCCATGTATCAGGTATGGAGATAGTCAGTGGATTCGGAAGACTGCTGCCATCTTGCATCAGTAAGGAAGAAGGGAACGTGATTTGATCCGAGTTGTCCACTATCTTCGTTGTATTCGCCGAGAAGAAGGAGCACAGTGTCATGTCGACGTCACTGTAATAGATACACATGTACAAACACATATGAGCTTTTTAAGTAATGCCAAATGACACGAGGCGTCATTTCAATTGCATTATAACCTATGATGATTACATACCATAAAGGAGTGGTCTTGCTTACGAAACGCGCACCCCCCCTCCCTTCCCAACACATTTTTCACGTCCCTTGCCGTCTTCATTTTTCCGCGATTAGGGTTTAGGATGACCGTTCCCACCCCCTAGATTTGCACTCGATTATACATAATTATATTACATTCATTAGGAGACAATGTGATTTTTTCTTCTTGATAGGCTAATACTAAGTATAGATATAGTTATGTAACCGGAAGTTACACCCGTTCATAATTATGTAATATTCATGGAGCATCAAAATACTTTCAAAATAGACCGCAGCCACACCAATGAGACTAACATCAGACCGACTACAGACTGAACGAATATTTACATTATCCACAATGGCCCAAACTTGGTCGGTTAGAAATTAGTCTAGAGGTGTGACTGAGATTTCATCAAGATTGTATGGGGGAGAGAATATGGAGAGCCATGACAATGGGCCTCTGAAAGGAGTACACCCTTGCGCTTAATTGCCACAACCATCTCTCTCATTACGCTATGATCTTACCTCCCCGGACGAGAGACGCAGATCTCGAACCTGTTATCACACTTGTCTCTGCATACCCCTGATGCACCGGCATCGCAGCAGTCCCCTCCACTCAGTCGGCTGGTGGGATTATGATAACTCAAGAGTGACAACTGAATCATGGTCACCCCTGCTACCATTGAGAGACTCTGTGAGAGGAGAAATGAGAGAAATGGACATGGTGAACAGAAATCATGAGACTTAATTCTTTGATAAATGAACAATTTTCCCATAAAACAAACATGTTTTCAAGAAAACGAAAGAAAGAGAGATAAAGAGAAACTGTATATATGCGCATGATATTATGCTGAAGTTCAAGAAGCACTGTACGAGAGAGAAAAGACTACGGTTTTTTTTTTTAGTTTTTTACTTTTTAAATCCCTAGTAAATGGTCTATTGCTATTGACACAGTAACCATGGTTATATCTTTTGTGGTCAAAGAATTTGCCCGAAAGAGTGATAACTTTATATATTATTACAGACGGTTTTTTTTGTTTTAATCCCTGATTTTATACAACGTATTCTTACAGATGGCTCAACGGTGGCTAATAGTTTACCTAAAGGCCGACAAATGAGGCTTTCGCGGTGCGGCTTGTTCTCTGATGATCAAACGATTGACAGCATTTCAGTCGCAATTGTTTTTTTTTTTTTTTTTTTTGTTGTTAATACCAGTTTGCGTTTTTTATCAATCTGCGGTACAAATCTATATTGGAAGATAACCGATGATGAATTGACCACATGACTTGTTAACTTTTCGTGGCTGACTCAGGGACAGGGGGTGTGCCTATAACCCCTAGAAAATGCGTATCTGGTATACTCTAGTACAACAACGTAGGCCCTTATTTGTGCCCCCTCCCCCCTTTCCGGCAGCACCTTAGATCCCCAAAAGGCACGTGTTTTTTGTTTTATCCGTATGTCGCAGATTTTACTGAATTTTTCTACCCCTCCCCCAGGAATTCTGGATGAACTTCACTGCGGCATTGTTTTATCTTCAACGTGATGTGTCACATTGTGATGAATCGTCTCACCGTCTACCCATGGTCTATATCATGTAAACGTAGACGTGTGAATATTGATTTTCTCCATATGTTGAACTATGTTATATTGATACTATGTTGTAAATATGTTTGGACTCCCATACCCCAAAAGGGGGTCGATAGAGTGAACATTGTTATCAATTAAATTTTTTACAGTTTCACAGTTGCTTTGTCCTTCGTTCATGTTGCTTCAGTGTCGATTTTCTGATTTATTTTTTGTAGTCACATTGTACTAGTATTTATTTCTTTTTCTTTGGTGATTTCTTCTTTCGTTTCAGAGGTATTCTTCCTTTAGTGGTCAAAGTTTTCGAGGGAGACTCAGGTGACAGAGATGAGTCATCCTCACCACTTTCGCTCTGTTGGTCATCGCTGACTGTTTCTTGCGCGTGCTTGATTTCATCGCGAGTCTTGCTTTGCGGTTTCGCGTAATGGATCGCTCCATCTGATGCGTAGGTGGAAGATGATTCAATGCGTGAGGCCGATCGTGTTCTTCTGGGTGATCGCAGATCCAAGACTTCGGCCGAGGCCGAGTCAGCATTGCCATTCTTCGCTGGCTACAATAATGCTGATATTGCTTTGAACACATTCGGAAAGAAAATGTTTGACTCAAAACCACTGTTTTTGTGAAGCCTTACATGACATGTAGTTTTTCGTAAATGTACATGACTATATTGTACAAAAATCGAATGTCAAGCACTGTTTAAAAATGCAAGATCATCAGAACGCTAAAGATTGAAGCAAAAGATTCCGTTGCCAGCGCCTCGAGATGAATCCGTGAATATGTAACCTTCCTGTATACCATATCACAGCAGTAAGCTGACTTCTGATTAAATTGTAGATCTACCTGAGATATGAAAGCAGTTTATATCTCACAGAAATCATGTCCGAATTGCGTAAGACGTCAATGTAATGTACAACTGACAAAGCTATTGCAATTGCCTAACGTTTACTTTTCGAAATTTTTTGCGATCGTGCGTGTTATAGTTTAACCTAACTCTATAGAGTTAATAATGATACCATACTGATAGCATGGACTTAATATGGATGGACATTTAACGTGATTCTTTCTTTGATCCAATCATAGTCGCCGCCTTCTGATTACGTGCATCTTAATGAGAACATTCAGCTGTTTTAACAATAACGACTGCGTAAGCATTTTCGGTCATTGACATTGACAAAGGAGCAGTTTCCCTCTCTTGGGTTTCGTTTGGATGGTGTGCTCTGTAAGAGTGTGTCTTAAATAAAAGCATCCTCAATGGGGAGCAGCAAAGTTGAAAAGCAGACGATATTGGTGATATGAAATGTATTATTACTGATTTGCAAACTTTCGCACACACCTATGACTTTATAAAACAATTAGAAGGCCATGATCTGTATCAGCCCTGTGCGTTGTAACTCTGGAATATTATGAGGAAATAGGGGGAAACGGGATTTTAAATCACAACCAAAAAATCCAAAAATAACCTCTATCTGGTAATATCAACATGTTTTTCCAAAAAAAATGCATGTACAGTACACGGAACAACAATTTCAGATTATAAGCCAGAACTGCACATCTATTTTCCTCACCAACCTCGCAGAAACGACCTTGGAAATTCTCAGTACAGGTGCACTGAAAGTCATTGAGTTGATCTTGGCAAGTGCCGCCGTTCTGACATTCTACACTGGTACAGTTGTTATGGTTGTTTTCACACAGAGTACCTGAAATAGAATCATTGGAAACAAGAAATAGGTGAAATGGCAATGCAAAATACATCAACTACTCCTTACAACTCCGATAGTCCTTTCCATTATTTTTTTAATGTGGGAACATTACAATGACGTGATCATGCATGTCAGGTTATCAGGGACAATTTAATTTTCAAGTATTTGATGTAATCCGAACATTATTTTCATTCTAAAATTAGGCAATATCATGGGTATTGAAATTGCCCCGTGAGTTGATGTCTTGAAATTCTTTCCTTGTGTGATATGAGGAGGATTCGATCGTTGAGGTTTACCTGAACGGATGTAGAAGCAGTAATCCTGCTATCAACATTCTTAAATTGCCCTTTTCCTCATCGTGTTAATACTTTTTGAATAATTTTAGCCCCTCCAGGTTATTCTACTCTTGAAACAATGAAAGTAAATATAAAAAAAGATAAATAAGATACCACTTACCAAAGGTCCCTGGAATACATTCGCAACGGTAACTGTTTACAAGGTCGATGCATGCACCTCCTTGCTGGCACGGGGATGATGCACATTCAGCTATGTCCTATAGAAGATATGAAGAGAAAGAAATAGTGAGAGCGAGCGAGAGAGAGGGAGATCATAATATTAAACGAGTTTACCACTTTCATTAATTAACGACAAAAAAAATACTAAAGTTTGAAACATAATGTTTCTGTAGTCATTGTTACCATGTATTTTTCACATTTTTCATATTCGTTTTTATACATATCATACCAATGTTTTTAAAACAAAATATTCATATACCAATATGAATGACGTTTCCTGATAGATACATGTACAATTACAAACGTCATGTATATCCCTGATTAAAAGCAGATTCAAATGTTCATCAACTTGTTGCCATGTCTGATATTGAAACATAGGCTATACATGTAAATTTCGATTCCTAATGATACCAATGATTATTTTCTTACCTCGTCACACTCTATGCCGCCCCAACCTGGTACACAGAGCTTCTTACCCGTGAATGGTTCACAGGTGTATGTAGCACTATCCGTACAGTAGACATGGCACCGAGGGCCAAAGTACCCATCCCCACAGTAGACTCTCATTCCTGTCTTCAACCTGTTCAAAAACATAGTATTACGGTTAAAAGTTGGAATTAAACCCGGACATCTGGGACGGCATTGTATTTATTAAAAAGATTAATGTGTTGCCAAAAGCCATATTGTTAAATATATAATGCTTTGTTGATTCAGCATGGAATATATGAATAAAAGCAACCCATAAAGCTGTGCGATGTCGGGGCCCGAACCCACAACCTTCCCATCTCCAATCGAGTGTTCAAACCACTCTATTACAAATCAAATGTTATTAATGGGTCAAAATACTGCATGGTTTAAACTATCACGTGCGGGATTTTACTTTATTTTATAGAAAGCTTTCATCAAATTTATTTTTTTAACATTTTCTTTATAATTCCTATTCATTCATCTCACATCAGCCGTTTCTTGATGCATTGCTCGCATAAGTTGATGGTAATAATCATCCCTTTTGTTCCATTTTTTAATAGAGAGAAACAAAAAATGCAGGAAGAAGGAAGGAGTAATTCGAAAGGAGGACACCTTACTTTCCATCGCCTGTTCCAGACAGCGTGGGTCTCCATTGGACAGTGTACGCAAGGTTGGGGTCTGGGTAATAATTGATATTTTTCGTCAAAATATCCACTTCTTGCTCACCCACTACGTCGACGTCCCAGACGCGCACCTTGAATCGAACACCTCCCTGAGATAAACACACATACAACATTGGCATATTATATGTAAATTATCTTTTGATGTAAGGCATCCATATGCACATAACTTACGAAGTACACACTCAGGACAGGCTGCATTTAAACCTACCTTACACAAACACAACAAATAACTGTTGGAGATTGAAATTTATTTTCTTTCTTTTTCTGTAATTTAAAAAAGGTCCAGCTGCTTAATCAAACTTCTGCACGAGAAGAAACGGAGGCATAGAAAATGGTCAATGCGGTCAACGGTCCATCCCATCTACCACTGTAAAGTGTATTTGAAAGTCAGATGAAAGTGTTTTTTTTTCAAGATCGCCCTCAAATGAGATGTTTTGCACTTTCGTCTTCATGAAATTTATTTGAATGTAATACACCTCGTAAACGTTCGTCGCATCTTTGTTATATAGTTCGTATATTCTACATCATTACGCCTGGCCTTTTGAGCACACTTACACTAATCGAATTAACTAATCCAGGAGATGCAATTTGTGATAAGACCACGGAACACAAATTCTATAATTCAACGTGCATATCATTAACGAGATTGCTTTAGTGTCTTGCAAAATGTACACTTCTACCCAAGATTACTGTCTGTCTTTGTAATAATAATCAAATGACGTTCACAGAGTAGACATCACGTGATCATTAAGCTGTAGGCATTGGGCTGGCAAGACATGAGCTCAGTTTACAATTTGATGGCATATGCACATGGAAAATGAGGCTGTATCGGGGCATACTTGAGCATAGCGTCTCTTGGGACGATTTCGCAGCATCGATTTCTTTCAAAAATAATGCAAAATATCGACATGAAAAAAATATTACAATTTTGAATAGAGGTTTAGAATTTCAAAAATAAGAGCACATGAGGTCTTTACTTTCATTGCTTCCAATAGATCATATTTTGACAAAGGAAATTGGCAACAACAAATTTGTTCACGTGACGATGTCATTTGAGGAAAATTACTAACAGTATGTTTATGACGGTAGGGTTCACATGACTTTTCAAGTACTTCATTACAAAAGCTCCTCAATAACAAGCTCTTTCCGTTCTCTCTCTGTATAAAAAAAATATGACTTATGTTGCATATGATATATTTTTAATCCTCCGTCCTAATTCTGTTTGAAATCAGAAGCTAGCTAGGTGCTGCGTACCCTGCGGACCTAAAGGTTTCTCACTAGCAACAGCACATCAGGTCTGAAAGACGCAGCGTTACATGCTGGGTCTATGTCATTGTCCTTTCGTTAGCTTCTCCTCTCCCCGTCAGCGCCCTTAATCGCTTGCCAACTCTTTTGAATGGCATAGAGGATGGGATTAATGAATTCCTTGTCTAACGAGGAAATTGAATAAAGTTTATAATATTTGTGTCCAAGTAAAATGACTTGCACTATGTTTAAGGTCACTGAGTTAGCAGGTGTCATCTTTTTTTCCTTCATTGCAATGTAATTTAATGAACACTCGTGTTATTACAATAAAGGACAAGCTACTTCGTTGTATCCTTTCAGAAACAATACAATAGACATGATTATTCATGGTTGTACATTCGATCCTTTAACATCACTCACAAGTCCAGTAAACCGACTCCAAACCGACTGATGGTCGACAAAACATGTGATCCGTCATCATTTTACTTGGGCGAACAATTACGTTTAAAAGGTATATGGTTACGGTTAGGGTTCCAATCGGGTTTGAGGGTTTACGTTTAGGGTTAGTGTAAGGTATAGTGTTTAGTCCAGGGTTGAAGCTAAACATTCAGTGAATAGGAAATTGACCGCGCAACAATAATTGCTGGAGCATGTGTCGCACATCCACAAAGGTTGGCCATTCTTGATAGATTCTTTTTTTCTGTTGTCGGTCCGGTTATCGGTCTGTTGTCGGTCTGTTGTCGGTCAGGCGTAAGCTTCATCGGAGTGACTGAGATACAGCGATGTATTATGACCTACCCATGCATCAGGTATGGAGATAGTCAATGGATTCGGAAGACTGCTGCCATCTTGCATCAGTAAGGAAGTAGGAAACGTGATTTCATCCGAGTTGTCCACTAGCTTCGTCGTATTCGCCGAGAAGAAAGAGCACAATGTCATGTCGACGTCACTGTAATAGATAAACATGAAAACACAAACACATATGAGATTTGTAAGTAATAGCAAATGACGCAAGGCGACATTTTGATTGCATTATAACCTATGCTTTATTATACACCATAATAAAGGAGTGGTCTTGCTTACGAAACGCGCACCCCCCCCCCCCTTTAAAATGCAATTTTCCCTTCCCCTGCCGTCTCCAATCCTCCACGATTAGGGTTTAGGGTGACCTTCCCCATCCCCACGATTCGCCTTCGATTATTCAAATATTACATTATTTAGGACAATGTGATTTTGTTTTCTTCCTCATAGGCTAGTACTGAGTAGAGACATAGTTAGGTCATTGGAAGTTACACCCGTTCATACTTAAAATTCCTGGAGCACCAAAATATTTCCAAATTTTTCTTCAGCCACACAAATGAGACTGAAATCAGACCGACTACAGACCGAACGAATATTTACATCATCCACAATGGCCCAACCCTGGTCGGGTGCCCTTGACCTCAATATTTTAAAGTGACTATCGTCTCATTTCTTTGGTAATATATTAATTTGCTTGCTGTATTTGCTATTTTAGCTAGTTTTGCTTGTTTCACGTTGTATATCATCTTATGTCAAGGCTTTCTTGCCCACCTATTATTACCGTTACGTCTTTTACCATTACAACCACTTCAACCAAATGTTAGTTTTATTTATGGGAACCTATAATCTACAAGCTGAGCTTTTTAATAGGTTCCTCACATTTCACTCTGTATAACCTTCTTTCATTACAATTAATTTCGACGTCTTTTCAAAGAATTAATTATATAAAGTGACACTTTTAGTATATTTCATATTATGTTCTAATTTTGTCAATTATGTAAATTCTTGTTTTTGTGAAATGTGAAACAAATAAACTTGACTTGACTTGACTAGTTTAGTGGTGTGACTGAGGCATCAAAAAGATTGTATGGGGGAGAAAATATGAAGATCCATGCCAATGGACCTCTGAGAGGAGCACATCCTTGCGCTTAATTGTCACAACCATCTCCCCCATCAATACGCTATGATCATTCTTACCTCCCCGAACGAGAGACGCAAATCTCGAACCTGTTATCACACTTGTCTCTGCATCCCCCTGATGCACCGGCATCGCAGCAGTCCCCTCCACTCAGTCGGCTGGCGGGATTATGATAACTCAAGAGTGACAACTGAATCATGGTCACTCCTGCTACCATTGAGAGACTCTGTGAGAGGAGAAAAGAGAGAAATGGACATGGTAAACAGAAATCATGAGACTTAATTCTTTGATAATTGAACAATTTCCCCATTAAACAAACAAGTTTTCAGGAAAAAACATGAGAAAGAGAGATAAAGAGAAACTGTGCAATACGCTCAACTTCAAGAAGCACTGTGCGAGATATAAAAAAAACTCCAGGTTTTCTTTTTAAATTTGTACTTATTAAATCCCTAATAAATGGTCTATTGCTTTCCACACAGTAACCATGGTCATATATTTTGTGATCAAGGAATTTTCCCGAAAAAGTGATAACTTTATATATTATATTACCGACAATTTTGTTTCTTCAATCCTGATCTTATACAACTTATTCTTACAGATGGCTCAACGGTGGCTAATGGTTTAACTAAAGGCCGACAAATGAGACTTTCGCGGTGCGGCTTGTTCTCTGATGATCTGACGATTGACAGCATTTCAGTCGCAATTGTTTTTGTTTTTGTTTTTGTTTTTTTGTTAATACCAGTTTGCGTTTTTTATCAATCTGCGGTACAAATCTATATTGGAAGATAACCGATGATGAATTGACCACATGACTTGTTAACTTTTCGTGGCTGACTCAGGGACACGGGGTGTGCATATAACCCCTGGCAAATGTGTATGTGGTATACCCTCAGGGGCGTAAATCCCGGGGGGGGGTGGGGGGCTGCATCCCCCTGGCTTGAAGTAGGGGGGAATGGCCTGTACAAACATCCCCCCCCCCCTGATATTACAAAAAAAAGAGAGAAAAAAAAGGAAGAAGAAGATGAAGAAAAAAAATGTGATTGTTTCAATTTTAGCATAATGCATGAGAAATGAGTTATCTTTTTAAATGTATGTATAACTGTATAGCCTACACGTATACAGTATGTCACGATCATTAAGAGTAGTTGCGCGACGTGCGCGAACAAGCACTTCATAAACTTCAGAATAATGTTTCGTTATTTTGCAAGGTATTGTTATATCCCAGACGTAAAGTGCGCCAGCGCGCGAGCGCTTAAAAAGTGCAATCATGTACAGTAGATGCCCGGCTCCCCCCCCCCCCCCACTTAGTGTTATTTAGGGTACGCGTATGCTCGTTCCCTCCTTTTGAAAGCACCCCCCCCCCCCCCCCACCCTATCTCAGGACTGCCAACATTTCTGAATCCCCCTTTCGCCGGCTTTTCGCTGGCTTTTCCTGCCTTGGAGATTCCCCCCTCGAAATCCGGAACACTGCTAAATGTACCACCGCCCCCCCCCCCCAATTTCAGGTGAGCTCTAGTCGATCGAGGGGGACTGGGGGCCAATGCTTTTACTTTTCAAAATGAAATAGTTCTGAATGAGCTTTCAAAGCTAGCAGGAATTTCAAGAATTTGATCCCGGGATTTGATCAATTTTCTCTGATATTCAGAATATTTTATAATCCCCTTTTTACATTTTTCAGGAGTCCAAAGAGAGAGAGAAAAAAAAACACCCCCTTTTTAAAGAAATTAAGAGTCGAGAACGGTACAATGAATCGTCTTCTTTCTCTAATTATTTAATGAAACGTAATTATATCGCCGATCATCCCCCCACTCCTCGGTACGGATTTACGCCCCTGGTGTCAAGTATGCTAAGTAAACAGCCTCCCCACTTCTCAGTATTATATTGATTTGTGTATCAAGGATGGAAATTGAACATGTGTGTAAACTGGTAATATTTGGTTGGGCTTTGTTCATGCGTGATTGCATCATTACATTCCATTGGAATCTTTCAGATTCTGACACCGTAGTAATGATTTGTCTTTCCAGACTTCGGTGATCATTACACTCCATCCTATAGTAGGGCTTTTGGATTTGTTTTGGTCTAGTGGTTAAGTGTTCTTGCAAGCGTAACACACTTACACCTGAATTTATAGGAATAAATTAGGATAACGTAGACTAATTTCATTATAATGAACGAACAGAAACACGGAAATTAACAGTGGAACAGACGCCGACCGTTCTGTTATAATTGTAACGGAGATAATTGGCTGACTATAAATGCGAAGGTGCAATATATCTCAATACAGAGGGTCCTCGGCTCAAAATCAAGTGCGTTCTAAAACATTTTGTATCCAGACACTGATACTTGTTACTTTTTAATCCCAAACGATATTGTCAAAAAGAATCTAAAGATCCCTTTGCTTGCTTTCCTGCAAAAGATTATATTAAGCTAATCACTCAGAATCGCCTGTTGTACATGAATGACGACAAGCTGACTTGTTTTCCCTTATTCAACGTCCTATTCGAGGGAAAGAGATTGTACCACTGTTTTCTAAGTGCTTACTCACTATGATAGCTTTCGTCAACTTAAATGTTCAAACTTAACATCGAGTCTTTCCGTCGCTGCAACTACACTCTACCAGGTCTAACAGTGACCTATACAGTCCCGGCAAAAAAAAAACCTAACTATAAAATGACCTTCATTATAGTATAAGTATCATCATTTTTGAAAACTGATATATCAACTTTGGTAACTATATATATCCTTATTTTAGGTGCACCTTCCATTCACATACCGTCATCCACCCAATTACATCCTCACTTAGCTTGAGGCTTCTTATCTTTGATTGGTGTTTCCTACAATTTCCTAGACACGTCTTCATCGCCTTATTAAGCTATTAAGATATATGTATTTCTAAAAGAAGAGGGGTCATTGACACCGTCGAGTTAATATTGTAATTAGTTCGAGGAAGTTCTATCCATTAAAGAGGTTCTGAAAGGCATAATGAAGAAATAATTTTCGTGGTAAACGGTCCGCAAAGTTCTGAAGACACATTTCTTAATAACCTTTCATTGAACTGAATATACGGAACATTTAAATTCACTCTCTTCCTTTTATTATTTCCCTCCTTTTCTTTCTGTTCCTCTTTAGAATAGACTTTTGGGCTGTATTCAAGTTTGCCATGAAAAAGTAAAAAGAAGTTCAACTCATTTCGTACGATTCAATCTCAAGACCGTGAGGCCCGACCTTGAACATTCCATTCTAAAACTTCCTCTTCTCTCTTCTCATTCTTCTTCTGACTCCCATTCTTTACCTTCTCTTCCTATTTCTCTTTTTTCTTACACATGACACTGTGTCAAAATGATTTTGAGGAACATAAACAATACAAGCTATGCTTTTTATTAAGTTCCTTTTTTTCACATGTAACTTCGAAATTATCTAATGTAAATGCAATACAAACTTATGTTGTGTAAATGTCTTTATTGTTCATGAATATCAATTTTATTAATATGCTATAAGTTTTGTTAATGAATTGTTTTTCATATGAAAATAAAAGAAACTAAACTTAAGTGAAGATATGTGAAGGCTTGTTTCATAGGAAAATTTAAAAAAAATGTTACTGGATTTACATAGACCAGTCTACATTGAGTGCTCTCTACGGCTACCTGAATACATTCTGCCCTGACTGCCCATGTGCGGAGATTCGTTCTTTTCTGGTTTGGTATAAATTCATTTGAATCGTTGGTTTAACTGCCTCTTATTACGGATACAACAATCCTTCCTGGGATGGGTTTGACGAAATATTTTTTTTTCCATCCACAAACTATGACAAGATGAAAGTCATGACGTTTCAACCTTGAGCGTATGGACAAGGAATGAACCCAAGAGAACAAACATCTCCCAGGTTATGAAAATGACAACGTAAACATTTACATAGCACTAACCAAGGAGAAAAAGTTATCACTAGAAATTCTTGACAATGATCGTTATCTAGGTAATGAAAATATGCGCTTCACGGCACGCTACACCTTGTCGTCTCTACAAAGTTACCTTATAAGAACAACACTTCGAGTCCAGTTTGACGAACTTGATCATGAATTTATTAGACATAAATGGTGTTTTTTGCTGCAAAATAAAGAATAATTAATTACTCACCACACAGGACAAGGCTATTCTAAACAAGAGCTCCATATTTCCGTCTTTGTTTGAAGCAGTGAAGACAATGGAGAGAGTATGAATCCAATATTAAAAACCGCAGTGTACTTTGACAGACCTCTCTTCTTCGGTCTGCTAGTGCGCATCAGTAATTAATACCAATGTTCCGTCTCCTTATGATCTCCGAAAAATGCCGAACGTGTGAGTGAGTCGTACGTTCTCCACCTTCTACCGGACGCGTTAGCTAGCACCGACTAATTTGGCACCCTTTGTCTCTTTGCGCTAATACTTCCAGCTCCTCCGGAGGAAAGCACCGTAGTCGTCGATTCAAAAGCACCCGCACACATCGCTCTGATATGAGGAAAAGTCAAGTTCTTGCTAGATATAATTAGTGGGTCTGACGTCATCGCGCATGATGAGCGTGCGTAGAAATGCAATGTAGATACAAAATAATATTGAGCAAAAAAAGCGTCATTGATCCATTGGTTGAGTTGCAACACAGATGTTCCCGTTGCACGCCACAAAATTCAGGAAAAGTTCGTTTGTGGGAGAGTATTTAGGCAGCAGTGAGTTGCCATGGTTACCATGAACGGGTCGTCAAGGAAATAGACTGAACCATCTTTTCACGATGATCATGTGATATTTCCTCCTCGTATTAGTATGGATAAGTTGTAATATCTGTTTCAAATCGTCTCTTATTTTCCCTCTCTCTGTCAAGATTTAGAATTCTTAAAAACAAACCAAGTAATGTAGATTTACTGGAAAATTGAAATGATTCCTTATATACTTTTGCGATTGTTTACAATGTTGATGTAATCGTGCTGATGTGTATACCTTTGTGTATGTTCTACCCATGGATTAAAATAAGATCAATTTCTACATTCATTTAACCATAATATGCAAATTATGATACGTCTATATATGACACACATGAATAGCGTACATGTATAATGTAATGACGGGGAAAAAAGAAGGTATACAAATGTGTTTTTGTTTAATTTTGCTCGAACGCTTTTTCAATACCAAGATAAGCAACGAGTAAACATATTTTAAAGCTTCAAATCATGGCTTTTGCGTTTTGTTTTTAAACGAAATAGCCGTCTTGACTGTCTTTTTCAAATTGTTCGAAATAATCGTCGTTTATTTAACTTGAACAAAATTCTTCCTTCGGATGAATTTTACAACCTGCTTACACTTTCGTTTTACACAGGCCGTTCACTGTATTACAAAGTTTGTCAAACTAAAAAATCATTGATTTTTAGATAGCTTACCTACTCTATTCTATTTTGTTGATAACTGACAAGTACTTCATCTTAAAATTAATTTGTTTTATTATTTATAGATTAGCGTGTCAATCATAGGGCGGAGACGTTTACACTCCCCCCCCCCCCCAAACAAAATATGTCGTTTTATGTCCTTGTTTTAATCTTCATTACTTACCTCACTATAGTACACTAATAATAGAGTGTGCATCTCATTGCAGGAAAACGTGATTAACTACTTCAAATTGTCTAATTAAACATGCCTCTAGAACGTTGTTCCATTGCCATGGTACACTGCAGGCGCGTACGCACGGGGGGGGGGGGTGGGGTTGAACCCCCCTTAAGTATTTGTATGTGTGTATTTTGGAGGAAAACCCCACCCCCCCCCCCTTGGGTAATTTTTTTTTGTCCTCTTACCCCCCCCCCCCCCCCCCCCCCCCCGCTTATTCAGCGGCTGGCTGAGTCGTTGCGATTTTTTTGGGACCAAAAAAAAAAGTGTCCTCTTACCCCCCCCCCGCTTATTCAGGTGCTGGCTGAGTCGTTGCGAAATTTTCGGCCCGATTTTAAAATGTTAAACCGCCCCCCCCCCCCCCTTGAAAAAAATCCTGCGTACGCGCCTGGTACACTGTATCGACACGCCACGTGGCTGTTCGATGCTTTATGAAAGGTTTTAAAAAAGGTTTCGTGACCTCTATGCAATCAAACTTGACGTATGCATGCATGTTCGTTGTTGTCGCTGTTGGTGTTTGATTATCGGTTGTTTTTGTGTTGTTCGTACTTTCCTTGGCAGTGCTAAGGTAAATGCATTTACTTAATAGTCTTACTAAATAATCACATTTGTATATTTTTACTTACTAACGTCTAGTGCAATTGCCCCGAACTTTAAAAAAAAAAAAACTATGAGTATTCAAAACAAAATTATCATAAAAATTTGCTAGCCTAAGGGTTTCCTGCGTTAATCTTGTATAGTTACCGTGACCTTGTCTGGTCTGTCACTAAAGGAAATTGATAAAGCAAAGGCCTGGGTACCCGGGACATTCTCCTCGTTATACCTAGCTGTTTACAGGAAACCCCCAAACTAATCAAACGAACTTCAACTTATGCACTTCTTTCATCAGCAAACATCATAAGAGTACAAATTATCCGATAAAAGGTTCTTTCACGCGACCAAGAACAAGCGTTTTCCATTTTTTCATTTTTTAGTTTCGTTTTTACATACCCCCACCCCTTCAATGTGATTCTACAATCTTACTACCGGAAGTCATAGTATAGCTTGGTTATAAGGCTTGGTTGCGTCTACCTGAATTGAAGGATCTATATTGTTTCCTCTCTTAGTCGTGATTGATGAGCAGATGTAGTAGCATACTAACAAAGGACGGTGTCTTACTACTTCCTACGTTAAAGGGTAGTCTGTCTTTGAAATATATAACTATAATGTGACATAATGTTCTACAGATCAGGTTATTTCAGTTTGGAGCACTGAGCCTATTTCATATTTGACCAAAAAATAGAAGGAATACAAAAGTAATTCAAGAGGGAAAAAAAGTCCTACATCTTTTCTTCTTCTTTTCCCCCCTTTTAATTGTGATTATTTAAACATAACCCGATACTCAATAGACTGCTCTTATTTATAACAGGGAATCTACATTGTACAGCTTAGCTTTTTACTAGATTCCCTCATATTTCACCACATATATTTGTCCAATTTCTAATACCATGCAATTATTGTATTTATATCTCCGTACGTTAATTCGACTGTATTTTTTTACTTTCATTGCCTGATATTATCTTGTTTAAAGCCCATTGAAGGAACAATTCTTGTCATTCTAATTGTGTATTACTTTTGATTTATGTCATGAATGTGAAAGTGAAATATGAACTAAACTAAGAAACTGGAATCATGTTACAAACTTCACCATACTTTATACCAGGCAAGAAATTGGTATCTGGTTAATGTGTGAACGTTGTGCAAATCGTCAGGTCCTTATATTCTGCCTGAAAATAGTTGATGTCGTAATTTATATTCTGTCCAAAAAGAGCAGATAGCCTATGATCATTGTACACCTTGTATCGATTAATTGAAGATGATTTATAAGGCTATTTTCTGATGAAAAAAACAAAAACGTGCGTTGTATTTAGGGCCCAGTCTCTGATTTCTGAATTGTGCTTGTAAATTGGGGCAGACGTGTTATTTCATCGTACAATATCAAAGGACGAAGATATGAATCACAGACTGAGTGATCATCAGGTCTCAACGGCTAATAGTTCAGTTTTTGAAGCAATTGAAACGTTCCGCTGATATCTTCATTTATAAATAGTATCGGAATAAACTTAAAAAGGGAAGAAAATGATACAAATTGACTCATAATAGAATAATTTACAGCACATGTTTTAATACCGACGAACAGCAATAATTAAAGATGTATCTAAAGAAAGGAAGGGGGGTTGGGAGAGAAACAAAGGCAGAGAGATGTGAGAAGAGGAACCATCCTTTAAATCTTTCACAACATGTTCTTTGAAATGTTCATGTTTTTTTTTCTTTCATTAACCCAATTACTTGGAAAGCCATTATTTCTAGCCTCCTTTTGATTACATGAAATGCATTCAAAATGTTCACCTACGAATGACATTTTAAGTGTTTGTCATCTGTCACATTTACATAACATGTTACGAAGTAACTTCACATCAAAGTGCAAGCCATACTTTTGCAGTATATTCAATAACGTTTATAAGTATAGGTCATAAAATATAAGCTACTCAAAACAGCCTATTCGCGTCATCACAAATAATTTGCATAAGCATTTTCTTTTTTATTTAAACAATACAAATTACAATTGATTTATGTTATAAAAAATATTTTGAAGGTCTCAAATTCCCAATTGGGTGTTTTATAGTTTTGATATAAATCGTACATCAATATAGAACGTTTAATGGTGTTGACAAGGGATTTGATTCAAGGAGGCAGTGTCGAAAGAAAAATGAGAGTTGAAATGAAGAACCAAAAATACATCCGGGGTATATCTTAACTGATAGGTATTGTTACAAATATGGTACCTTGATTATTTCCCTTTGCGTAGAAATGTTTCCCATTCTTAGAATTCATAGTTTGGAAGTGAAACAAGAGCATGTAAACTAATACATTCAGCTTTCGAACCATTTTTTTTTTAAATGTCTGTACGAAGGCTTTTGTGTATTACTTCCTCGAAAGGTAGTTTACTGTATCATTAAATGTGAAAGACTCATTCTACATGTATAATGACCACAGTTCTTGGTTCGCAGTTGATGGTAGGGTATACGCACTTACACTGTCTCCTAGAACACCGGACTCCACAGAAATTAGGTTAAAGAGCTGCTATGTGAGTCATTTGGGCATTGTTATCCAAGGGGGCTCTAGAAAATGGGGTATAATTGGAGGAAACTTGGTTTGATAACTCTCACCTTGGCTTAGGGGGTAAACAAAACCACGCCCATTTCGTTTTCATTGGACAAGTGAAATGACTTGTTCATGATTTTCAGTATCTAACTTTCTCACCTATGGAATACCTTCTTCCCTCCTAATGCCTTATGTTTAAAAAAAGTCGTCTTTTTTACCTTAGGTATGCCATATATCCTATGTTGAAGAAAAAAATGACTTCGGCTTGCTTTGACTGAAAAAAATGCAATGTTTTGCTTTGTTTATACATCAACGTGACTACGCACTCAGTTGACCTCCCTTCTCTCGGTGAGGATGTATTGCAATTTATTGTCAACTTCACTTCAAAACTTAACCTAATCAATTGTTTCCTGAAATACCGTTCTGACCTGCGTGTTCCCCTCATCCTTTAGGATGTTTTAATACACACCCGTAGATTCAAAATTTCCTGTTTCGATGGCCAACCGCCTTGATCTTTAAATTATATAAGTAATGACCCATACGGAAAAGTCCCTTGTCATCCGATCGGTATTTCCTTACGTAATTGGTCATCCTAAAATACAGTAGAATACAGTTATGCTATATTAGTATCGATATATCACGTCACTATTCGTCTACCATATTCGATTGTCGAGATAAACAAAGTATGCAATTGTTTTCTTGGATTTACAGGGAATTGAACTTATTTTGTTATCGTACAATTAAAAAAATACTCGATATGATTACCAGCAAACTAACTGAAATAGAGTTATTGTAATGTCTTCTCTTCTATATCAGTCAATCAGTCAATCAGTCACCATGTATTTCTCTCTTTAACTATATAGGCGTTGTGGTGTGCGCCTGTATCCAGCTAAAAGTGGAAATACCAAACTGATTCAGCCGAGGACACAGGTTCGAAACTGAGTCACGCCTTTCGGATGGTCACGTTTAAAGGTTGGTCCCCAGACATAAATGATTATCTGATTGATACACGTCTGTAAAAACACACATACACACACACACTCTCTCTCTCTCTCTCTCTCTCTCTCTCTCTCTCTTCTTTCTCTCTCTCTCTCCCCCTTAGATTGGGTAATGAACCATATTGAACCCTGGTATTCACAATTCAAGCCCCCCCCCCCGAAAAAGAATCAGGAAAAAAATGATTTTACATGTAATATAAAATATAGATACAAAAATGAACAGTAGTAACAAAATTTACAGTTTGTGTTTACTATCGATATCCAGACATGCACGACATGATCGTTCATATAAACTTGTTTCGTGTTTCCATAATAAAACCGTAATGTCAATATAACTTGCAGCATCATTACCTGAGCTATTAGTAGTTGCCCCTGGTAACAACCAGAGCGCATCGTCGGCATGTGCTTAGACAAATCTAGCATGGCCTTGGCATTGAGCACATACAGGAATTAAGCACTTGACTGGCCCTCTTCCGTCTTCCAACTTTATTAGGCAAAGCATGCCGGAAGATAGAGCTATAGTGAGAATTAAAATTGGGCCTGTGAAATATGTAGGATTAATCGAGAGCAGAGTTTGGTCATGGTCCATGGTTTGGTCTTATTTGAAAAGGTGATGGTACTTTCATCTAAAGAATAACGAAGAACGAATTCCCCCCCTAGTCGACATTTTTGATGGTGCTGTCATTATTTATTACTACATTTGCATTTACAATTTATTTTCTTCCTCATAAAATGGCATTTCCTCTCTTCTGCATTATCAAAAGCTTTATCATTATGGTCTTGCAACCGTACGTGCAATGTCATCATCAGCAGCAGCAGCAGCATCATCGTCATCATTATAATCATCATCATCATCATCATCATCATCATCATCATCACCATCGGCAGCAGTAGCATCATCATCGTTATCATCATCAGGCATGCATGCCGTTACCTCTATATTTTATTGTAATGAATAATGCCACGGAACAGCGCTTGTAATTGTGAATATTCTGGGAAAGTGTATTATGCGAGCGTCTTACAATAATGTTCATAAAGTAAGTAACAAAGATGACAAAGTAGTACAAATTAAGGTACCACGTCCATAAAATATATTGATTTATTAAGATATGGTCTTTGAACTATACTCAATAGACAACAGTAGGCCTATATACACATAAAACCAAAAGCGAAGTGTCTCCACAAAGATATTGAAATAGATTAGTGTTGACTGGAAACAAAAGAACTCTTATATGATGGATGTAAAAACCTATTATGTTTCTCATGCCATTCACTAATAACTGAGACGCAAAACGAACCATTAACACGAGCTGCGAAGGGGAATTTTTTTTTTGTGCTCTCAATCAAACTTGTTGAAATTCAATTCTCTAAATGAAACTGTGTTGTTAAGAGTATGTTATTAGGAGTTTTAAAAAAATATTTAACAAGTTTCAATTCTTTTATCCGCTGAATAATTGTCTACCGAATGATTATAATACATTAGATTAAACACAACTCATTAGAGGCAGTGAAACCTCATTAATTTCCGCTTGAGAACATGGATGGGAAACGGGCTACTTTCAGAACTCATGCTTTAATATCGTACTAACACTGCAACATAGGCAATGCTTTGACGATGAAATAAGAGTATTCTTGACTTCATTTCAATCACTTTTAACAAACGTAGCAATATTATGACCCTCTCCTTTTTAATCGTAGCAAATAATCGTGAGAGAAAAAGTATGATATTACTTTCAAAGACACATTTATTTTATCTGCTTATTCAGGTGTACTTTTAGCTGCCAGGAGGGCTGATACACGCATAGCATAATTGCCTACAACCCCGCAGCAATACATTAATCATTTAATGCCTCTTTTCCTTCGATTAATTTTGATGCTTTTCCCCTGCTGTTTCCTTTCAAAGAAAAATTCAAGACAACCTAAAATTGTGAGGCAGCAGTAGCAATCAACAATAGACAGGAAGTTCCAAAGGCTCACCATTTAATTCCCTGCTGCATGATCATGCTCATGGTCATGTTCTGCGAACATTTGGAGATTAATCACCAACTGATCGTGTATCATTCGTCGATCACCTGCCGACCTTTTCTCAACCAAATATCGCTAGGTAATAGTCGATACGCACTGAGGATAAGTCGGAGATCAGGGGGGCGGTTCATGAAACAATTAGTCGGTGGTTTTCACTGACTAATATCATTTTCACCGACAATTCTACTGTCACCGACAATTTTCCAGGCCTCTGATTGGTCAAATTAAGTCAGTGCTGACTAAATTGTCGGTGAAAATGAATAAGTCGGTGATAACCCCAGACTAATTGTTTAATGAAACGCCCCCCTAGCCGAGAATTGTCGCCTACACTACAAAACAAAACAAGAAAACCCTATCCACGACCAGCAAAGGTTTTCGATGCAGTAGCGTAAACCTCCAGCTGACCAAAATGTTCTGGATATCAATCGCCGACCACTGACAACCTTTTAAAGACTGCCAAACACCTTTCTACGACCTCTGACAACTAATTACCCACGAGTGGTAGTCGGGAGTCGGCGACAGGCCGTACCTCTACTATGACCTAGGTTTTACGAATCATTTAGAAAAGTCTAATCTATTTGCTTTGCGTTAAGTGTATGCTAATCAAAGTGCCAACGTATACTAAATACCCCAACAAAATCGCTAGAATAATGAATAATACAATAAAATACATTAAAAATCGTCTAATAATCAAGACATGTGTAGATTGAACAGAAATGTCACAATTAACATATTCCAATCTGAGTCTAAGGCAATCTAACATATAAAAATAGATACTACCTCCTTGAACTTATGAGGTCTAATTCTGATTCAAAGTTATTCATCTTGATGATAAGATTAGATTCTTGGTGCGTTAAATTCATACATTTTTACACATGTATATACAAAATCCAGATAAATATATACATTTTCACAATTCAATACATTTATATTTTATGCAAAATAAATAGAATTGGACATAAGTGTCCATTTATGTACTGTTACAATCATCAAGATATTACCGAACCAAAATCCCAAGAGACTTATTTATTTTGCAGCATTCAAAAAGCATTACGCACACGCGATGTATGAAAGGAAATTGTATTTTTAACCTCAATAGTCTGTAGTCTTTTCAATTGTGTTTATGATAGGTAAATAGTGATACATTATCATAAAAATAAAAAATCGGTGACTGCTACGTTGAACAAAAGTCCCAAGGTTTAGCTCGCTTCGTTATTGTATTATACCGTATGCGGCAAGAAAGACAATATTCAAGATTACATCATGATAGCAACAGTTTTCAAGGCTTTTAAACAATAGCACTTATGATAATGGCTAAATTTTTATTGCACACAGACATATCCATCCTGAGGATGCTAAAAGGGCCCTATAAAATTACTTTTATTATCTTGGCTTTAGCCCAGCTGTACTTAGGCGTTACAATTGCCTATTGACTACACCTGGGTGGAGAGCAACGAATGTATATTAATGTCTCTCCAAATGATATTAGTGCTGCAACGCGAATCGATCAAACGCGGACTATTTATTAATGACTTATATGATGATAAAGCGTCGCGGAATGAAAGGAGGGAGGGCGTATTGCCCTACACCTTGATTTAGCTGGTCCGTGGGTTCGGTAACCTAAACAAAAATTATGAATAATCTATCGAGTTGATAAAATGTTATGAAATGAAGATCCATGGGAAGGAGCTTCGATCATACTGCTCAGACCTCAACTTTAGTAACGGGACAAGCTATGACGCTTGTCGATGCTTCCGCAGTTAACCAATAAGTTTGTTGAGAGCCTTTACCCTGCAATGAGTTGGAAAAGTGATCGAGTGTAAATAATTGCAAGGATTTAAAGAATCAAACACCATTCTATCCATGGTGGCATTGTGGTGTTTAGGGCATAGAAAATGTAGAAACCCCTTGACCACATAAATCATACAGGGCAAAATAGATATAGATATAGAAACAGATGGAGAGGGAGAAAGAGAGATAGAGATATATATAGAGAGAGAGAGAGAGAGAGAGAGAGAGATAGAGAGAGAGAGAGAGAGAGAGAGAGAGAGAGAGAGAGAGAGGGGGGGGAGAAGGAGAGAGAGAGAGAGAGAGAGAGAGAGAGAGAGAGAGAGAGAGACGAAAGAGCGAAAAGGGAGACCAAAAGGCAGAGGAAGATGGATAAAGAGACAGAAGGCCTTCAATTTAAAAGAGACAGACAATGGATTCGTCGAAAATGAAATGACTGATTATCAGTTTGCGTAAAGTGTCAAATCATTTTCATTATGCTAAGGCACTTCACGTCTTACTAAATTTATTATCATCATTCTGTATCATCTTCTCGAACTTAGTTTAAATGAGTTAACCATAAAAGCATGGAACCATTTGCTACTGTAGTATGTTAACGGGATACAATGGTTCCTACGTACAGAGTTTTGAACAAAAACGTTCACTTTTACGAGCGACGAAAGTGTGCTAATTGTGTTTTCAATAAAAACAGGGGCATGTCTTGCAGATAAAATGGTTTCGGTGCGACCATGGGTCATCCATAGCAAAAGTTATCATGTCTAATGCTTCTTCACGGATCTCCAATGGTTATTTTTCAAATTTCTGGTACACTTCATTTAAAATTCTCGTCTATTGCTCAAAACCTTGCCAAAAATGTTCAATAATGTTTGCAAAGGTTCTTTAATATGACATCAGCATTCGTTACATCCCTTTCATGAAAGACAGAAAAACAACTGTTACCTTCAAGACTACCTCACCACGGGGTTCTGTCTCAAAGTTCTTAAAGGTATCGAGCAATTTCTTCGTTGACTCACTGATGTGAACTTTCATTGCTACAAAATATAAAGGGTAAAGAATAGTTACCATAGCAATATAATGCTTTATATCACTAACATACAGCCTAACGCGTCACCTATATATAGTTGAATGATAAACCGCAATTGCACGATAGAATAGAGGAAATATGTTATTGATAAGTCTAACAGACGAATAGTATTGAACTTGAGCGACCGCTACCCTTCCTCCCCGTTGAGTTGTTGATGATTTCAAATATTTATACATCTTTCCTATTTATAATCATTCATTATCCTAATCATTGAAATAATTACAAGTCACGTGTCTTTTTATTACATATTTGGTGTCATCATTATCTCTATCAGCATTCTTATCGTGATTTATTATCAATTTCTTTTAAATTTCATTTCAAATCAACAACAGCAGATACTAGCTCCATCAGCCAACTGTTGATCTTCGTCGATTCATTAACTGCAGTTAATGAGTTAGTGACATGTAGTGGTGTGACCATTGTTACTTATTAAAGGGCAATCCAATCTTTGTAATACGTTCGTTTATATGAAAGCAGAAAAATAAGTTAAATAGAATGGCGAAAGTTTGAAATATATCGGACCAATAATAAGACTGTGACGTAGTCGCGGATAACTCTCCCTTTTCTCTTGGGACACTACAATATAATATGGATAACATATTATTAAAGGTCCTTAAAGAGAAAAGACCCTCCTGGGTCAAACATATTTATCCAAAAGAGGAGAATTTGAGTCAGTTTGTGTGTTAGAACAAATAGGAAAGCTGTCCGCCACTTCATCACAGAGACATTACCGATTTCTCCAATTTGAAGAGCCCATACCTACAATAGTTACGACTTTCAAAAATTCATAACTTGCTCATTTTTTGTCAAATTTCATTCAAACTTTCACCAGTCTACTTCTTTGATTATTTAATGCTTTCCTCTAGTATTTTGTTATCGAGGTTGGATCATGATAATAGGAGACACGATGATGATATCACCTTGTCCTGTAGACTCCATCCGCGATGCTGTATTCACCGTATCTCCGAACAGACAGTACCTCGGCATTCTCAGACCAACCACACCTGCCACGCAAGCACCTAGAATTCAAGGAGATGTGGGATAAGGTTCATTTTTATTCTATTTTATTTTATTTTGTGGGATTTTGAAACACACCTTCTTCTATAAGCTTGTTTAAGTTGTTTTATTTCTTCTTTCGATCAACAAATGTATTTCTTTCTCTTTTTTTTGGCTGCTCGGCCAGTGGGACAAACTATTCTCACCGAAATTATCGAATTGAATTGAATTGAATTGAATTGAATTGAATTGAATTGAATTGAATTTATTGATTCATTTGTCATACAACGGAAATTCTTTTTCCATAGGTTTAACAACAGCATATCATGTAAAAGCAGAATGATATATAACAAAGAAGCGTAAAGAAGTGCACAATGACAAATACATATTATGTTGATTACAAAACAGAAGTAACAAATACAACAGAAGTTTCAAGGAAGTTACAAAAACCAATGTGTGTCAGAAACTAGAACAGGAAAAGGAAATTCATCTAAATAACTCTTTTCAACGCTCTCCTTTAATGTTGGATAAACGGAATTTATGTTTGAGCGCAGCCCCCCCCCCTAACACTATTACCTCACTGTAGTACTATGCATGGTATAACATAGGGTATAAAAGAAAACCTGAATCTCGCCCGGCGAGCTATTGTCTTCCCTCGCCTTAATTCGAGTTTGGAAGCTAATTTCGTCCCCGAGATCACCGTAATATATCTTGTCACCATGTCCTTGTTTCATTAATACCATGAGTACTGCTCATTTTCCTATTTCTTCATCACTTATTCATCCTATTCATCTTTTTTCAAGTCAATTTCATACCACAAAGCTTTCTGCTCCTTTCCATGATTAGAATATCTACACAGTCCATTGCTCTTGATTATTTCGGGTGCGGTTTCGTGAAAGGGATTAATTAATTCTTTACTTACACCATTAAAAGGAAAAGTGAAATTCAATCATTCTTAGTTTCCTTTTTTCCAAATCGCGTCGAATCGAGTTGAAAAAATGTTTCCCTTGACAATTTCGGGTGCGGTTTCTTGAAAGCGATTAATTAATTCTTTAATTCTTTACTTATATCATAAAAGAAAAGTGAGATTCAATCATTCTCAGTTTCCTTTCTTTCAAATCGAGTCGAATCGAGTTGACAAAATTGTTTTCCCTTCTGTGTGTTACAAAGTTCTTGCATCCTGGGCCCCGTCTTATAAAGAGTTGATATTAATCGCAACTATGTACACAAGAGGTAGGAGACTGCAAACTTGCGATTGATTGGAGGACTTGCGATTGATTTGGATCACTCGTAACTCTTTATAAGACGAAGCCTTGGTTGCTACAGCTAGTGGTATTGCTATTCTATGCAAGCTGACGAGGCCATGTTAATTAGGGTGTTCAAAAGAGTTGTAACGCTTTCTTTCCAAGTTCACTTCCCCTCTTCCCTTTAATATCTCGTTATCTCCATTTTCTTTCTTTCTCTTTGTCACCATTTAACTGAATAAGGGCACGTGTCACCGTGTGCTCTCCCCCCCCCCCCCCCCCGTATCCACGCAATTACTAGACCAACGTAACGGTAGTTCTCAGAAATAGACAGACCTGACCTGTACCAATATGATAGAAGACGTTTAAATATGATTCCATAATTCCTTGTGATGTTCTTTTACCTGAGTGAACTCCGACCCTGAGGAGGAGTTTCTCTTCAGGTTTGTGTCTGATTCTGAATTTGTATGCCTCCCTGACAAGAGACAGTGCCATGGAAGCAATCTCCTTGACATGATGAATCCCATTCCTGATCGGTAGACCAGACACAACCATGTATGCATCACCGATCGTCTCCACCTACACAAATAAAGCAATCTTGTCAGACAAGGGGTCACATACATGTGCAATCCTCACAATTCATGTTTCCACGTGCAGATATGAAAAGGTCAAATATTATGCCCTTTCTATAGCTTCCAATGGAGGTGTTTGAAATTGGAGATCATGAACATCGATTTGAAACCCGTGAAATAAATGTTATGTCACATACACCTATTAGGCGGAGCTAGGAAAAGCGCTGCGAGGGCCTCGCCCCTAGACACATTACATTAAAAATTATGGCGGGGACATTTGCCCCATTCCCTCCCACACCCCCCCCCCCCCCTCTCCTCCAAATTAGTGAGTCTGGGAAGACTGACGGTACTAATGTTTTAAGGAGGAGGGAGGGGATCCAATTGCAATTTCAAACATTTAGCCCATCCCCCCCCCCCCCGCGCTCCTCCCCTGCTAACAGCATTGAATCAAGTATCGTATAATTATAAACATCATCATATTAATACCTGTAAACTTATTAGTGACCTGGTCTGTGGTATTTAAAAAAAAATGAAAATGGATTCAGCACAACCCCATACAAATTGTCTTCTTCAGTGGCTGGAGCTTGAAAGAAAAAAACTGTATCAGTAGATGATTCTCTATTTAGTTACAGACAACATGATTTGTAGTATGTGTTTGAATTACCTTATAGACGTCAAAGTTCCCAATTGTGCCATCGAAACATGTGTAGAGATCATTCAACAAGGTCACCACCTAGATGACAAGAAATAAATGAAAATTTCACAGAATCAGTGAATGTTGGAATAAGAAAGCAAGTTTTGCCGAGCGATTATCTAGTCGTACATAATATCTGGGTGTTTGAGACACAGAGTGTGATTTCCAGGAAAACTACAATTCAAAGATTTCAAAGGGATAATAATCAAGGTCAAATATCATCGTCTACTCTGTTTATGATGGTTTCAGCGTGTACCTCCCTTGAGTCAACATTTGCGGAAATTCAAGAGGTCGAGAAAAAATAATAATAGTGCCATTTAGTGACCAAGTGATATCTGAAATATACCTGTCAAGTGTTGTTGTCATCATTCAGCATAATATGAATCTATTTTAACATTTAATTGCCATAACTTTAATCGTACATGTATGAGTTTCTTTGATAATCACGTTCTCTAAAACAACATTTCTTGAAATGTTCTGATTTTCTGTTCTTAAAATGATATTGAAATAATGGCGCATTAGCAAATAACTCTTTTAAAAAAACATGGTGAAAAAAGGAAATATCTATACCTAGCTTTTTTGTTTTACGAAACAACATACTTATACATGTATGTGATAACATAATATAGACCATTCCTATGGCTGTTCCATACTATTAAAACTCTATCCACCGGGGGCTGGTTTTATAGAAAAAGTTTCCTACTTACAATTAGCTGCCAAATTATTGACGGTTTCTGGTATTTACATGGAATTGATCAAGGACCTTTGGGGGAAGGAGTGGAGGGCGCTCTTTATTTTTGCGCTCTGAGCGAGATGTAGAGGTAAGCTCATCAAAATTATTAAAATGCCAAATTATTGACGGTTTTCTGTTATGTACATGTAATTGACCAAAGACCTTCGAGGAAAGAAGTGGAGGGCGCTCTTTATTTTTGCGCTTTGAGCAAGATGTAGCGGTAAGCCTGCATTTACGTCACCGAAATGTGGAATAGCTATCACATTTAATGCTTAAAACCTTTAACTTTTTATTGTGAAACACCTGGGACCTGTTTCACAAAGCCTTTTTTCAATGACAAATGACAAAAATCAGTGACAAATCTGCTGATAAGCAATCAGAAGCAAGGATTTCAATATTTTAAAACAAAAGCTGTCATTTGTCGCCGATGACAAGTTTTGTGAAATGGGGCCTATAGGTGATGAAATGGAGTGTCAAGTTTGACAGACATGAGCGCTATACAAGAACTGACTATTATTATTATAATTATTATTATTTGATTCCATCTTGTACATGTCAGTATTCACAGCCTGTTACCTGTAGTGGTGTGCTATCAGCAGAGATAGATGTAAAGCCTACGATGTCGCTGAAGTAGATAGTCACACTTTCATAGGATTTAGGACTGACCGACGATCCTTGCTTGAGCTGCTCAGCTACAGATCTATGGTACAATTCAGAAGACTGGCTCTTTAAAGAATCGTGACGCAGTGGTCACTTGTTCTCTTTGATCAAATGATTCAAGTGGTACCATTACAACGTTTGATCATCATGCCTTAAATTATCTTAACGAACATGAGCTTCCTCCGTAAAGAAATATCATAATCATAAGCATTGATAATCCAAGCTTGACTAGCATGTGTCACACATTTACACAATCAAATGTCAACACTTGATATTGCGAACAATAAAAAAGTAACATAGTTCAAGTGGAATATATTTTCAGCTTCGTAAAGATCCGATGACACACGTCAAACAAAAAGTATAGGCCTACAGCCTAAAAATCACATTGATAAAAATTATGACACGTAGCGAATCGATATCAAGCGAATCATTCATGAAAACTATAATATTTCTTTTCGAATTTTTTTTTTCTCTCTCTCCTTCTCTCTCTCCTTCTCTCTCTCCTTCTCTCTCTCCTTCCCTCTTTCTCATCTCTCTCTTTTTTTCTCTCTCTCCATCCTTCTTTCATTCTTTTTTCTTTCTTACTTACCTAGGCAGCACTTCATAGAGCAGTGTCTCTGATCTCTTCTTCTCCTCTAAGAACGCTGCCGTTCTCTCCTCCACCAGTGTCTCCAAGTTGGTGGCGTACTGTTCCATGCGACTCAACAAGTTATCAAGGATGTTGCCACCAGATAAATTCCTGAAAGAGATTTATGATGCAAAATATATTTTTTTTGAATCATTTAGTTACATGTGTATTTAAATAATGACTTAGATCAATCTCATCCGATCTAGGCGACAAGCTTCATACTTTTTCATATGCAGTTAATTGGTTCACTAACGCTTCCTAGGGGAGATATTAACGATTGCATCAGTAAGATGGAAAACTGTTCTATTATTTGTTGCCATCATGTAAATCAAGCTTCACTTTACCTCTGTATCCTGCAGTTGTTTCTACTATAAATCAAGGTATTATGGAATACAGTATTCCATCATATAGATGCAAACGATGTCTGTTTTTCCAGAATGTATTGAAAGCGAAATCAAAATCAAAACTTTTGGAAGCATATCTTTACAAAGGCGGTGCCCCAATCAAACATAATATTTGTATCGACATGTCCTTTTTAGTTTGAATTTTTATTAAACAAAATATTTAATAGAATTAGGTCTATTTCGGTTTACTTGTTGATTTTCTTCATGCTTGAGAGTAAATCTGTAGTAGCTGGTCTATTCTCTGGCATTTCTTCCCAGCATGCTTGTATGATGGACCTTATCTCATCGGTGCATAGTTGAGGGTCTATCTCCGGGCGGAAAGGTGGTGAACTCGTCTCTGTCAACTTCTTCACGATTTCTGAAAAATTGAAATCAAGTAGCGATAGGTGCTTTTCCATGAAAATATAAGAGTGAAGGCTGGGAAAACTCCAATGAATGATACATAGATATAAAAGATAAACTCTACGTTGCGTTTTCATAACAACGCGCGGTTAAGGTCGAGAAAAAAACTTTACACCTTTATCAACATGATCAATAACACACATGGAAAATGCTTCACATGTCAAACCTCGGATATGGCTTGAAATAGTTCCAAAAATCAATAATAGACCGGTTTACGAAACATATTCAAATTGTATGCATCATTTTTAGACAAAAGGTTGTTCTTGAGAACACGAAAGCGTGCATGAGGCTTGTCCGGCATAGCAACACGTAATGTATGCAGACTGATTTCCTAGTAGTGTAGTTCATTCATTAATAACTGGTTAATTAATTTCCTCGTTACTGGGCCCGACGAAAGAAACATCCATAAATGTATATGTATTTGTAAACTAGTCTATCAAAGAAGACATATCTTCTTCCATGTTTCCAGGTTCTGCGATCACCCTCTAGGATATTAAGAACTTTTAGATTGAGTGGACGAGAACGGCGTTAACAGTCCACTGATCATGCGTGTCTATGGAAAGCCGTTTTAACATTTATTCCTACTTCTTCATATCAAGAATTACCATTGCTTTACCGAAGCAAATCATTTCTTGATATCAAGAAATACCATTGCTTTACAACAGAAAATCATTTCTTGATATCAAGAATCCAATTCTCGATATCAAGAAATAGGAATAAATGTTAAAACGGCTTGCCATGGACACGCATGATCATTGGACGTTCACGTCGTTCTCGTCCACTCAATAAGTCCTCCGTTTCTAGTTCATATAAATTTTAATGAAAGTGACATCAATTATAAAAACCCGCTTTTTGTAGTACTGAAGCGCATAAATAATGTGTCTAAATGCTCCCGAAGGGCTTTTGGAAATCACTACCCGGCTTTAGCTCTGACAACCGAAGCACTCAGTACATTCAAGGAATAAATCCTACCAGGTATCCGCATACTACACCTGGGTCGATGTGGCAGATATAAATTAATAATTCTAGCCAAAGGGCGTTTAATAGTTATGATAATACAATACCATCGATCTCCATGGAGCTTCTTTCTTCTTCGAAAGGGCGTGCTCTTGTGACGATTTCTTGCATGATGATACCCACACTGTAGATGTCGCCCTTCTGAGTTGGCTGTTGATTGGCTGATCGCAGTGTCTCCGGGGCTTGCCAGAGCATTTCTGTCACCCAAACATAGAGAAATAGTGACGCATTCTCCTGATAAAATTCACTTTATTACGAATTATGAATATGTTTGGCTTTTCTTATTATATCGTTTTGTACACATGTTTTTGAGTAATTCAAAGGAACGATGAATATAAACAGTCTTTCGCCTCATTTAAAGATATTTTTATAAATATTGTCTCAAGGGTCAAACTACGTATATACAGTAGAACATGTTTTTTAGTATTGAAAATGGACGATGAATATCCACGGTTCTTCCCTTTATTTAACGACAATAATTTTCAAATGTATCGTCTCGAGGGACATACTTCGTTATTATAAAAAATTCAGTTATACTAGTAATGATAACAATAGCTACTTTCTGAGTGTGCACAAATCTATCGCAGATTACGCACGGGGCGCCAAGAAAATAATAGTTTTACCCTTATTCCCACTTCCCAGTTCTCAGTTTCCCAAAGACGCGGAAAGCATTCAAAGAATTTCTCAAAATAAGCATTAATGGATTACCATGATCTGGATTGAATGGGGCAAATGCAGACTAATGTCTTGCTAAAGGACAACAGTAAAGGCATATTTTCAAGTGAATAAAGTTTACACTTTGCATAAATTATGAAAATAGGTTAATTAACTAACTCAGTTTCAAAGTTTGCGCTGACCAGTCTCGAGTAAGCTTAAACGGACTGAATTATACACCTACTCTGTTCGTTCTTTGAGGTTTGTCTTTCATTGCTATCGGTGTCTCTGAACTTGGTCAGCCCGTAGTCAGTGAGTTTGAGAACGAATCGGCTGTCGACCACGCAGTTTGAAGATGACAGTCTACTATGCAACATGATCACACTGCTGTGAAGGTAGTGCAGTCCCTGAAGTAATTGTAATTTGTTTTGAAAGTATATCAATGGCCAAGTACTACATTTAAACTGGAAATGTAACTTGCTTTAATGTCACCAATATTCGCCTATGATGGAAGGTCCTGATATATATGTATATCTTAATATTATTTATAAGACTATAATATATTTATATTTATTTCTTCAGATGATCTAAAGAAATAAAATTGAAACGGGTTATAGTGAAGAAGTGAACTTTCAAAGACTTTTGTTTCAATTGTTTTGTTTTAATTATTGTGTTGAGATTATTTACTCTCCAAATAAAAATCAATATAATAAAAATGCAGATAGGTAAATGTGGTTTCACGAGCCTAAGAGGAGCTCTTGATGCCTTATAAAATAAACAATATTAGAATATATCGGTACCATGCTTTACAAGAATTGCGCGCGTTCCTTCTCGTAGTAAAAGGATTCACTAACTTTCAAATCACAATTTATCATAAATTATCATGCAAGTGAGAGAGAGAAGATATGATTCAATATGTCTATCATGCTTTGTTTCTGTTAGTCCATAAATTACTAAGCAGTCATACTTACCCTCATAACGTCAGTGATGAGAGAATTCTTGAACATGTTGTCTAGTTTTAAGGCATCATTTTCAACTATGTCCTGAAAAAAGGAAAAAAAAAGGATTCGGTTAAATACAAAACGTTTGATTTTTTTAAAGAGGCCATTGAAAAAACAAACAAAAAACTTTTTTTTTAAAATTCCAAATGATAGTGATCCCCACATTAAACGTTAGCTATGTGTAATATCAGTCATGTCCCGAAACGAAAGTAAGAAATTAAAATCATATATTATTATCAATAACTTTAAAAAATATATTTATTTCTACACCATAGATATAAACAATTATGACAAATATACTGTTTATAATAAAATGAAAAGATGAATTTTTAGTATTACCTGAAGACTTCCTTTGGGACAGTACTCAGAAATGATAGATATGTTGGGAGCATCTACGCATGCGCCGACGAAACGAACAAGGTTGTTGTGTTCCACTTGACGCATCTGTAAACAAAAATGATAAAGTAGTGTATTTCGATAGAAACCATGAATCAAAGAATGCCAACATATTAATTAAAATAATGATAATTATGCTCATGATCGGAATATTTGAACTTCCATATTTCAAGCTAAATACAAGACAGAGCACCGGTGGGTTAATAATCAGATATACAATACGTTTCCCTTGTATGCTAAAAAAAAAATATCGCTTGCTATTTTTTCAGAATTTCGATAATCATCATAACATTCTTATCTTGGATGATTGCATATAAAACATTGGTGGATAATTCGTGCTTTAAAGAAATCACATTTTGCCGATTTTATGGCTAATGCCAAACGAACAACAACGGCATCACAGGCATTTGAGAAAGGTAACATTCATTTTCCATATGCGTTTAGTCGCATATGAGGTCAAAGCATACATGGCATACATCTATGTTTGCTCGTTGCAAATAAAAGGAGATTGGTCATGTTGGATGTGCTGCTATATTGCAGACATTTTAACCTTTTCTTACGTTTACATAAATGAACAATGAGAACAAAAATGAGAAGAATGATTTAATTTAGTTGAACCAAGTGCACCTCGCAATCTAGTTTCCATTGATTTCAAAGATTAAGAATCACAAAAGAAGATGAATGAGACCTTTGAGTTATGTCCCACTAAAGCACTTTAGCAAATTAAATGAATCGTTGCTATGAATACATAAATCATTGGAAGGAAATTACCGTTCAATCTGAGTTAGGGAATCGCGTAATGTAATAATAATTGCAAAGCTTTCGCTAAAATTACATCGTTTCCAACGACCCAGCATTTTTCTAAGAGAAGATTTTGACAAGATGCTATGAAAACAAAGGTACGTCGACATTGTGTATTGGACGTAAAAGAAATCATAGTCACGAACAGAAAGTCCCTTTGTGACGAGCTACCACATTTAGGTATAGGTTTGTGCATTTTTTTAAATGGAACATAAATACTTTGTCCATGTGAAGCATAATTTATAATTCATGAAGAACTTACATAGTTCAGTTCCTTCAATACATCCCGAGTTAAATCTAGTTTAGTTTTCTCAATCCTTCTGATCACTACCAGTCGACCCTGTTCGGAAGAAGTGGCGGAAATAAATGAAAGGAAGATGATTATTCCATAGAAATCAATCGATTGAATGAATAATTATTGTGGAAGAATAAAAAAGCAATGGCAATTATTTGAAGAAGAAGAAAAAAACGCAGCGTTGTATATACATAGAACTTGGTTTTAAATTGAAATCATCAACATTTTTATTTTTGAATAAAAAGTGGAAAATGATGCTTTAAAGTCCCACTGTATTACTTATAGCTACTTGCTCCCTCTATATTGAAAACTTCCCCAATCGGTGACTGTTGGTCTCCCATGATCCTCTTCTTCTTATGTTAATTGAGAGCTGGGTTGATGAGATAGCCACCTGTCAGTGACCTCTCTGGGTGGTCTAATCCCTTCTAGCCAAACTAGTGCAGACGGCCTTTAAATTATCAAGGTGTCCTCGTCCTAATATATATGACTGGTAATACATGAGATGTACCTTGTAGTTAGCCACAGTGGCGAACATCTGCCTGTGATGTGATGTTCCATGGCCGATTGAAGTCACCTGTTACGAAAATAGAATAAGTATAAGGCAGGCAATACGTATACATAGATAAGAAAAAGACAGAAAAACTGAGCAATGAGCTTTACATTGTATTTCTACACTGAACATGCGATTACTCCGAACCCGGTGCCACTCTACGAGCGAGCGAAACGATCGTAATCCAACCACAAATTTTTTATTTATTCAATTCATTTATTTATTTGTTTATACTTATTTATACACGGTAAACAGTCCAAACAGTGAAAGGACTGGTTTTCATTGGATGCATGTCAGACATTGGAAATAGTTTCATAAACATTGCGAATCTGATAACATAAAATGACAATGATATATAGATTCATGTAGTTAAAATTAGATAAAAAGTTGTGGCATAATCATGAAACAGTATATATCACAATGAAAGCATAAATTTGACTGAGCACCGATAAAACTTAAAACACCAATACTCACAAGATTGAAAAAGAGTTAAAGGTTTAAAAGTTTGAAAGTTTGAAGAAGTCCACAAATTCAAATGTTCAAAGTTTTGTTTAAGTTCAAAAGTTCAAAAGAAGTGTAGAAATACTATATGAATATGATATAACATAATGAATGTAAAGAGATTGAAAAAAAACTTTAAAATGGATATTATAACTATAGATATATTAAGAGGTAAATCAGAACAATAATCAGATTAACTGCAGACCTATACTTATTCCCATTTACCTTCTTTCTTTCTTTCTCTCTCTCTCTCTCTCTATCTCTCTCCTTGTCTTCCCCATGCTCTTTCTATATCCATTCCGCTTTACTTCTCTTGCATTTCTTCTCTTTCTCCCCCTCCACCCTCTCTCTCTCTCTCCTCTCTCTCTCTCTCTTTCTCTCTTCCATACTGAGAAAAATAATCAGATTAACTCTAGTCCAATACGTAATATGAATTATTTGTAGTTTCTTTAGATTTGACATGAGTGTAGAAATGAATATAACCCTGAAAAATGCATAGACATTAAATTGGCCACGTCATGTGCATGACGTTTTTTTTAACATGCGACGTTCTTTTGTTGAAAAAACATTATGCGCGTCGTGCAAACGCAAGTGCAAAGAAAAGGATTTTTGTTTTCGTTTATAATTTCTTTCTCATTACGAGTCTTATCTTGTCAAAAAAATCATTATCAAGGTCTCATGAAAAAACACCACTTTGCAAGTCGAATACAGAAATGAAAGAGACAATAATTTATCATCTATAAATATACCTGCTTTTCTTACTTCTTCTATTGCACTACAAACATGACAAAACCGCTTCTGGTGTATTATTGTATCATTTATTCGCAAGATCGGGTGCAATAAAAGAATTGTTAAGTATATTTTTCAAGTCTTTAGTTTTTTGGGGGGAGGGAAGTTTTCCACTATTCATTTCTGGCTTTTCGCGGTCAAGGTGCATTTCCAGTCTTATCTACTTTAAAAAGTAGCAAAAATCGTTGTCAAGGTCCCATGAGAAAAGAAGAAATTACAAGTCGCATACAGAAATGAAAGAGTTAATAATTTAGCATTCAACGTGCCTGTTGTTTCTTCTTCTGCTTCCATTGCACTAAAGACATGACAGATTTCTACCGGTGTATTATCGTACGATTGGTTGCGAGGTCGCGTGTAATAAAGAATTTTTAAATATTTTAATTTCTTTAATTTGAAGTTTTTAGGTTAGTTTTCCACTATTTATTTCTGGCTTCTCACGGTCAGAGATGCCTTCACAAAAGGGTAGATTTACTTTATATATTTGTATGTACTTACGAAAGAACCAGAAAACTTTGATTGGCCAGACTTGGTTTCTTCAGGAAACACGAGTTCATCCCAAGACAGCTTCCAAGACATACGGAGAAGTTCAGCATCTAGACGTATTTTCCTTTAAAAAATTGCGAAACGAGTTCGTTATTTCCTCTGTTCGTCAAATTCATTAAAGACATCAATTATTATAAATACGTCTTTAGCCTAAACTTTGTATCACAGCCAAAATAAGTATCTTCCTTTTCATTGGGACATTGTTATAGTGACTTCTCTCATTCCTAGTTCAATTAATGTTATTGTTGTTGTTGTTATTGTTGTTGTTGTTGGTAGTAGTTTAATGGCGTGTATTCAGTACTGAATATATACGCCATATCTTCAGTTATATAAGAAAAATCAGTTATCATTAAAAAAGAATTAAAAAAAAATTTGTTAAAAAATATATAATGTATCAGTGGTATTGCTCATTGTATTTCTTAAAATCATCGTTTTATAATTTTAGCACAGTGATAGTCCAGCTTTTCTACTGTTTGTTATGAATCATAAATATATGTTTAGATACCTGTACACGAGGACTAGGATAAGAAATGATAGCAATAGTACTGATGCTGCAGCTATTCCAGAAATGGCAAGAGTCGAAAGCCTCCCTAAGACAAACAAACAAAACATATCGAATTTAACATTTATTACTTATCAAAATAAATCATTTTGCTCTATACTGTACTGCATATATTTCTCTGTTTTCATGAAAGTTTCATCGGCTTTGCAATCGACCTATCGACAAACTATTTCAGAATACAATTAATCAACGTGCCATTCCCGATGAATTAACATCAAAGCCAGTGCGTCCTACATACACGATTCTGATATGTTTGAAATAAAATTATGTTTGATATTTTTTGTGTAGCGTTGAATCGCAGCATTCGATGCAAGAGGCCTTAGCAGCTATGACAATTTTGTTATCTTCAGAATATTGCAGTTTTCTAACAAGTCAGTACAATTTATTAAAAACATCATACTTCTGTTTGTGAGGAAACCGGTAAATATCTTTAATGATTTTTCTGATGATCATATGGTTACACACCTCATTTGCAAACATATTTGGAACGTTAAATTTCTTTCATTGATTAGAATATTCATTATTAATTGGAATGGTATAACTTTAAAATAGAAAACTTACCGTCTGGTTGGCATTCTGGGTTTTCATTATTGAATCCACAGAATGGAGTATCACGAGGAGGACTAGTGGCTCCTCCAGGCCACTTGATTGGTTTACCAGGGACAGGCGTGTACTTCAAACCAGACGATGTCAGGTAAAAATTACCAACCACCTTCAGAAAGAGCAGGATAGCAGTTTTTAAAAAAAAAACAGTTAAGAGACACGAGAGAAATGTTATTATATTTTGACGGCGTGGTCATTGTGTTTCATTTAAATCGCATGCGTAAACAAAAAATAGAAGATTGCCTGCCCTTCATCCTTCGTGTTGTCATTTGCAATTCTTTTCATTCACGTTATTCGTTGCAAGGATTCGCCAACTACTTTAATTATAAGAATTGTTCAAATTTCATTAAAATTATTCATCGTGAGGAATTACTGATTCATCCATATACTCCATTCATTTTGCACAATCATGACTATTGTCGCTGATGATAATGCACGTGGCCTCTGTTTCTTTCTATAGAAAGAAATGAGATTGGGCTTCCGCTATTAAAACTGCTATTTCTTTCGCTTTAACTTTTTAAAATATAAATATATTACATGTATTATATTATCGTAATTGAATTATCCAAATTGAATTATTTGTTCTATATTTAACTTAGATACGTATATGTAATGAATGGTACATTTGATAGTACATTATGAACAGTTAGTACACAACTGGTAGGAAGAAATGAAATGAATATTTACACTATATAATGGCTGCTTGTAACTTTTCATCATGCATATAAATCTTTAAAAGAAAAATCGTTAGTATCTGCTTCACGTTACTGTTAAGTCTAATTTATCTTACAACTAGGCATTTAAAAACAAGATGGCAGTGAGATGAAATATTTACACTATAATAATGGTTGTTGTCATCATGCGTTTCATCATGCATATAAATCTTTAAAAGAAAAATCGTGTGCATCTGCCTCATGTTATATACAGTTATGTCTACTTTTTAGTACCATTAGGCCTATTTGGTAATGAATTATTTTGCAAGGATAGCTGTCCTCTTATTTGATGACCATTCCTGAATGAAATCTTACGAATGGTCAATTCAGGAGATCTTTGAGAATTGGGTTAATACCACTCGGCTTAAATCACTCATCCTCTTGCATTTTCTTGCTATTGTTGTTACTTCCGTATTACCGATTCATGCTTCTTGGTTTGGCATACTAGTCAGAATGTTTACTTCTTAGAAAAATATAAGTGAGATATATATGTACATGTACTAAGATATGAATAAATCTTTCTTCGATATTAAAGGTATTTTTAATAAACGGGGTTTCGTTTCTGTTCCCATCCAGTTCGTGTCACTATTTACGGATGCAAGAAGTAATTTTGATTGAAAATTTACAGATCTAAATTAATTTTTTTTATATATGAAACGATTGTTCACTCTATCCTTGAAAGCAGTTGTCCACGTTGACCTTTTCATGTTGCTAAAATGTCTTCAAGTATCAATAAATTCATGCGGGCAGTAACAAAAGTACTTCGAAATACAATTATTTTCCTTATAACGAAAGCATCTGACATTTGTGGTGAATGAGGCAGGTGGTATATCGGATTTTACATGTACTGATGGGTGAATTGGGAAAAGGTTGTAACGATACAAACTCCTACGACAAGAGTTCCTCGGTAATTTCCTATAAATACACTAAAGGAACTTCTAACTTCAACCTTGGACCCCGCAATAATATAGCTAACGCTAAGCCTAACCCGAAATATTACCTAAAACTCCACTGCAACTCTAACCATAATTCTAGCCATATACTTTGGACGACATAGAGCACGGAGCAATAATTGACTTGTAGTCAGATTAAATGTCGGATCGCCGATTTTAAAAAAATGATCATTCGTGTGGGAGGATTGGATTAATAATGTTTGTTGTATAGTGGCAGCGTCTTTATTTTCCAATGGAGACTTCGGTGGTAAGCGGCTTATAAGCACCGTTTTATTATCATTATTATTATTATTATTATTATTATTATTATTATTATTATTATTATTATTATTATTATTATTATTATTATTATTATTATGTTGGGTTTTTAATCGCCGGAAAATCAATTAAACTCAGATCAAACTAACCTCAAATGTACCGTTCTCAGTATCTGTCATGTCCCAAAGAGAATACTCTGAATCACGGTCACCATTCTCGTTGATTTTCACCTTACCGTATAATCCTAAATCAAACAGTACAGTCATTATCTCACACACAAATTCATCAAACATTCCTACAGGGGAAATTTTGTATCAAGCATACATAGTAAAAAAAAAATGAAGTCCAGCAGAAATAACTATTGAAAGATAAGCCTATCTTTGGTAACGAATGCTCAAAACCTACCTCTTCTTATAGTCAAACATATACACATCATACTTCGATTAATAATATAATCATGCCTGCGTTTTGTCTTTATAGTGTCCTCATTGTCAATGTACACTTTAAAACATATATGTATTTAGATTGTTTAAATTATCATGTATTTTAAATTACTCTGTGTTAAGTGCCCTATGCAACTGATGTACGTATTAAGCATCGTGACAAAATGAAGTAGTATCATAAATCCATGCAGTATAACATGGTACATGTATAAGGCAAAACAAAGTATACACAGGAAATAATGAAGACGATTATCTAATAATAAGTGGCTAAACATGAAGCAATAATTACTAAACCATTTTATCGCAACAAGTGAGGATAAAACAGTCAACCTCGTCCCCCATCCCACACATGAGCACACCCACTTAAGACAAATTAAAGTCTTAAAGTCTAAAGAAACACTAAATACTGACCATCAAATGTTCTGTTCCACATTTTCTTGGTAACAGCATGACCGTCATATACGTCTCCTCCCTCTGCGATAGTTTCATTAATCGCCAGAGAATATAAGATCATGACGTCATAGAACGCAGAGGCCAAGAAGATGTTCTGTATCAAGAAAAGAAAATATTTGGATGAAGAAGGATATGAAATATCCTAGAATTCCGACCTCGGAGCTTACAGGAAGAAAACAAATCACACAACCCTACTAAAGGTAACTGGTTACGCATAATTAATGGTTGATTCATTTCTAAATTAAGTTTCTTTTGACCCATCGTGGTAAAGCAAAGACCGCTTCATTAACCTTTATAAATATTATGTAGAATATCACTTCACTCACATATCCGGGCACTGCGCTAAAGATATTAAATACACTTATTTATTGTACCACTTTGAAGCCTTATATAGATAATAATTTAGCATAATCCTTCTAATATAGTTATCATGTTCCTCTCAATATACTTTATCATATCCCTTCCAATATACTTAAATAATCATGTTCCTTATAATATACTTTATCATATTCCTCCTAATATACTTTATCATATCCCTTCCAATATACTTAAATAATCATTTTCCTTATAATATACTTCATCATATTCCTCCTAATATACTTTATCATATTCCTCCTAATATACTATATCATATCCCTTCAAATATACTTAAATAATCATATTCCTCCCAATATACTTTATCATATCCCTTCCAATATACTTCAATAATCATATTCCTCCCAATATACTTTATCATATCCCGTCAAATATACTTAAATAATCGTGTTCCTTATAATATACTTTATCATGTTCCTCCCAATATACTTTATCATATCCCTTCCAATATACTTAAAAAATCATATTTCTCCCAATATACTTTATCATATTCCTCCTAATATGTCCCTCCAAACAGGAACAGTGTTATAGTGTTATATAGCAATTTCCCTGCTCCAAACATAATTTAATTACGACTTCACACTAAAATCTATAAATTAATTTTTATTTTAGTGCTTTACCGTTTCTATAATCAGTGACCTAAAAATTCTTTTTTATTTCGCTTGCTTAAATTTTAATAACTAGAAAGTAGATATTCTTGAAGAGGTTCAATGGGGAACTGCTTGTGCTATTTCATGAATCGTTCCAACTTCCTTGCATGGCAGAAGTTGGAATACTTTAGGGATGCTATTTTTCTTCTTAATATAAGAAATTTTCAGAAATCTGAAATTAAAGCTAGCGCGGTTTAATACATCGCATGACTGCTTCTATAAATGTAATACGGTAGAAGGGTGATCACAATTATTGAAGAGATGCAGCTGAACATTTTTTTTATTATAAATCAATTTTGGTATGTGCGATTTATCAAATAATTTTGATGCAGACCGAAATGCTACTGCTTGTAAATAATGATCTTTTGAAATTTCACAATATTGTATGATCTCTTTATGTTAGACTTGTACAGAAATGGGTTATGGGTTCACTTTATTTTCCCCTATGACTAAAAGAGAGCAATATAGATGGACAATAATTCTCTCAAGATAGCAGACGCCTCAATGCCAAAGATAACACCATGATAAAGAATAACTTTTGATAACAACTCCGATTTTAGCTGTTCATATTTTCACACCTTTTCGATACGGACAGAACTAATGTAGCCTAGATAGCATGTAATCGATGTATCAATCTAAAATGCTTGTTGAGATGTGAATAATCTTGTTTATTAGCTTCACTTACCGAACCAGCACCTGAATCAGTGATGTTGAAATCTCTCTTTTGCCTTTCCCTGACATTTTCTTCAAACTCTCGGTAAGCTTCTGATGTAGGTTCAAAGACACGGATCGTCATCAAAGCTTGATAGGCGACCTTGGCCTCTTCATCGCGATTATCACCCTGATCAGCTCAAAGAATGGGATCACGAATAAGAGGAAATAAGCGGAAATAGATGGGAAGTACAGAAGACAGTGAGACAGAGATGAAAGTAAGGAAAGCAAATAAGAAGAATTATAAAATTGAGAGTTGGAGAACGATAATTAAAGTGGAGAGAGGGGGAAAGGGGGAATGTGATTTAGGAGAGAGAAAGGGGTGAAAAGAAAAGGAGACGGAAGATTTAAAAAAAATGAGAAACAGAAATGAGCTACGATTTCTCTACACAAACTACAGAGTTTATACCTTGTAAACATGATTTTTCTCTAGAAGTAGTTACGGATCTGATGAATGATAGGCGATATCATATTGTAGCCTTCATAATGAAAGCGCTTAAAATGAAGGTCACAATAATGATACCGCCTGCTATTTATTATTCAGTCGATTTCATTTTTCTAAAAAAGAAATCAGTGTTTGATCTACGGTAGATGTCAAAATGCTAGAATAGTTTTAAATGAAGGCTGAATGGAATTTAAGAGCGTTTCCATCAAATAATTGTGAATTGTGCTGAATTAAGATAATGACAAGACGTAACTAATTGAAGCTCAACTAAATGTGTCATTGATAGCTACACGTAGCGCATAGATACAAATATTCAAATACCGTCTTAGATTATTATGGTTGACTTACAGAGGCGAGTTGATATGAATACTAAAGATCACTTACACGCTCCCATGAGTCGTCCCCAAACAACTGCTCATCTCGAAACGGAATGATGTTGATGAAGGCATAGTCGCCATTGATAAGATCTAAATCATAGGCATGAAGCATGATCTCACGTAAGGTATCGCCATCCACAGCCATGAAGATAACTACACGTGAGCAGAAGATGCGTATATAGAGGGTATACGTGATGGCATGGGCGAGTTCGGTCGATGAGAACGAAATGGAAAGAAAAGAAAAAGTAGAGTGAGAATTTAAAAATCAAAACTTGACATTACTTTAAGTAATAATCAATTTTTTACTCAAAATTGTATGATTGGCAATGTTTTATTATAATACTAAAACGAAATAAATGGTAGTATTTTGTTCGTGTACCCACATAAGAGTTGGAAACGTTTCCAAACCTCTATCTCTCTCTCTCTCTCTCTCTCTCTCTCTCTGTTTCTTTTATCTTAGTTTATTCCTCTATCCTTGTTGTTGAACGCCAAACAGGGTAGCAGCAACTTCCGTAATGGGGAGGGGGATTACGACTAGGTCAGCAGGACTTGTCAGGACATGATAGAAAACAAATGAAATCAAATTTCTTACTTCTCCCCACTTTAGAGGCATTGAGAAGTGCTAGGAAATTGTCAGAAATTGCCCTCATTGAGAAATCGTGGTAGTCAAACTCTATTCTGTCAAGTTCCCTCGTTGCTGCTTCTTCAATGAGCGACCAGTAGTTTATACCCCCATCCCAAATCACTGATGCCACACCCCATCCGAAATGCCGCAAGACCTCCACAATCGCATAAGCGTATCCACTGGCAATTATTTGAGTGGTTCGAGTTAAGGTGCTGTAGATGGTCTCGTGTTCAAGATCTCTGCTAGACGATAGACCCGATAAGACTGGAATGTCCCAGGCAGCAGCCAATTCGGCCACGCTGTACATTTGATTACTGCACGGTGGACCCATGATTGCAGCCAGAGGGCGTTTGAAATATGTCTCGGCAAAGATGGCGCCGGCTTGACGCTCACCACCGAAACACCTGATCGTAACATCCTCGAGAGTTAGCGAAATATTGACATATTCCCCCTCTGTAACTCTGCGACGAATCTCTTCAACGGCTATATCTATAGCTGGAGCATTATACCGATAGCTCATTAGTCCATAAGTCCCGTGGATCATTAGAAGATGTAAATCGGTACCTGATGAAAAACCAGCAGTGGTTATACCATTGATAAGTACAATGATTATTACAGAAAAAAGAGAAGTGAAGATCAGCATTTTCTCCATTGCTTTGAAGGTTTATTTCAGCTATAGAATTTAGCATTTCCCTTCAAATTCGCCCATATGGAGCCATTTAATCTGTACACATGGTAGCAAGTCTTTTGGCAAACTATTTGGTAAAAGTGTTCCAATTTGTCTTTGCAGGAAATGATAAGAAGAAGAAGTGAAACATTTTGTCCGCTTACTGAGTTTGGATGCTTCATGTATGCTGATCTTATCCGTAATTGTACAAACGCAGACTGTTAACATGATCAGATTATGTTTACCCCATACTTCAGTCGTAGGCCCCTGATTGGTTCAGTCTTTACGGTTCATTTCGATTTTGTCCAATCCGTCTTATTTCAAATTAAAGTTACTCCGTTTTCTATGTGAGTGGGCGTGTGTGTGTATGTATGTGTTTGTGCGCGTGTGTGCGTGTGTGTTTCAGATCAAAGCAATACTAGGAGGAGCATGGACTTCCAACTAGCACGTGCCGAGAAGCGCTCTGAAAAAACTCTTTGATCATTAAACAATCTTACAAGCGAAACGGTAATTAGATGATTGGTATTGGGTGTAAGGTAACTTCATGGACCAGACATAAACTTCACGTAGCTCGAGGAAAGAGACCGTGTGCAGACGGAGGCATGTACTCTGAAAGCGCAGTGGGGTTCGTGCTCACTTTTCTGTTTTTGTGGTACTGTTTTCTTTTTTTTTCTCGATGCATTTCGTCTTGTTCTGCGACGTTTGTCATCCAATTTGCTAAGTGATTATATACGTCTTTAAAATGCTTACCCATCCTAAGCCTCTGTATAACAAATTTACTCGAACGCTAGGATAGAAAATATGTATGTGGTATGACAAAAAGGGTCCAGTTTATTTAATTTGAACTTTTCTATGTATTGGGCTCTGAGTGCTTCCAAATAACATTTGATTTTATCAATGAATTGTAAAAGTAAATCCGCCTAATGCTCCGCGACTTAATTACAAATATTATGTTGAATGGTAGGTTAAAATGCAGTTTGTTTTGTTTTGTTTTGTTAGGCTTTCTTGTGTCTGTCTGTTTGTTTTCTTTTTTGCTACTACTTAAAGAGCAATGGAAGGGAGGTAGATGTGTGAAGATAGTGAAACAAATATTGATTTCAAAATAGTTGACGCCGAAGTGAATACAGCAAAAAAAAATTGATACAGAACTTCTTTTTAAATCTGATGATTTTGAGATGAAGCAACGCGGTAATGCAATTGAAATGGAAATCTCACGATGTCCATTTTTTCATTTGCAGTTAATGCACAAACATCGACTTTCAAGGGACTGTTATTAAGATTTCATTGGTAATATTCAGTACACACGTTTGTATACGAATCATATTTTAGATTATGACAAAGCTGCCCTCAAATACCCTCGAGACCGTACTGTCCACTCGATTATGTGCCTTATTGCAAAATCGTTATAATCTTATATATAGCATTTGAGAAAATTGTAAAGTTCATATTTAGACTCAGGCTCAGATTAAAAAATATTCTACTGCCTTCGTTGATTAAAACAAACTTACAAAGTTAACCTCTGCTGTCATGAGAATATGAATTGCACATCACAAAATACACGTACACCAACCAATAAACAACCATTGGATTGCACGATTACACAAAATACAGTGGAAACCAATATAAGGGAATGGAGAGAGCTAGAGATCGAGTATACAATGGTTGAATGATTACCAGAGGAAAGCAGACGAGAGAAAGCGTGAAAGCAGAGTTTGGAAGAATTAAATGAAATTTCCGGCACATCATCACTACAAATTGACAAACAAAACTTCTGGCAGAGCAATGGACCATTTCTATTTAAATTTAAATTATGTACGACATTGGGTCAATGCTTTTTTTAATAGCAAAATTCTTCGACTCTCGCTTGAATTAACAACATTTAAATGACCAGGATGAATTGATGAACACTATTTTCCGCCCAGTCAAATAAGAGATAGGCCTAGTAACATTTTTATTTTGTAATTTAATGTAAATGAGTGTAGGCATCAGACACGTCAGAGATCAGAAGAAAACATTAACCTACATAAGTTGCATAAGCCATTAGCTGCCGCACCAGGTTGAAATATAATATGGAAATAATAATTTTATTTTTATGACACTGACATCAGAACATGATGATAGTGAAGGCTGGTAGATTTGCCTCTCAGTTTAAATGAAATGAATATTATTTAACTCATCTCCTCATGTATGATTTGTCAGAATTGAGCGTAACATTTTGGGGGTAAAAAAGTTTTTTTTAATTATTTTATTTATTGAAACAATTTGCAAACATGAAAATAACATGTTCGTATAGACAAAGAAAGTAACATACAGTGTACTACTCCTAGTTAACTCATCAACAAAAATACTTAACAAGATATCTGCCATTTCTTATTATGAAGATCGAGACGTTTTTTCTCCAGTGCAATTAAACGTTACATATTTTTCTAAATGTTTTAGAGCTCGTAGAAAAGAAGGAAATAGTAGAATAACGTTTTGCATTTTACAAGTAAATATAAAATACTTTGCAAAAAGAATAACTGTATTGGCGAAACAGAAATGATTGGTTATAAGAGTACTAAAAAAATATTTCTCATCTGTGAACAAAACATGTCGTATATTTTTTCTTTTAATCATAAGAGTATAATATTCCAAATTGATCTTACTTTTTCACAATTAAGAAATAAATAAACTAACTTCTGTTCATGATTTTCACAAAAATACACATTGAAGAAGTACTTAGCCCTATACCTATCTTATAAATGAGATGCAATTTATATATTTACAAATAAAGATGCAATCTATGAAGATGCAATTATAATGCCGCAATTTTTCTATGAATAAGTTTTAAATGGAAATTTCTCATTTTATAATCTATATGCTGTTGTAGCTGCTTTTATAATTTTTTATTTAACCATTTAGTTTTAGTGAGTATGAATATGTCGAATTATCTAAACCCTAGAAGAAAAAACGTCTACCTATGGAGGTCTTCTCATAATAATTGCCCAATAGCGACTGGTGTAGTTTGCTTACTAACATTTTCTTCTTAGCTGACATTTTGTCAGTCTGGTTCGATGTTGTATATTACCTATCAATCTTGATGGCCGACTTTCCCCTTTCATTTGGATCTCTCTTGCAAAAATGTCAACAAACTACTCCATTCTGTTTGCGAACCGATTAGTTTGTAGTGCGAATGTAATATACCTGCCGGGGTGTGTAATTTTTTCCCACTTGAGCTCCGGACCCCAGTATGAACTCATTTGCATACAGCCAATCAGAGCTCATCTTGTCAATGACAAGCTATACGCGTGCTAAAGATTTTACGGATGCGAAATTCGAAACGGTGATGTGAAGCTCTAGTTGCACACACACAGCGCATGATGGGTGTGCATAGGCATAGGCTTGCAAATGTTTCATTTGTGCTCTAGCATGTATATGCATAGCAAATTCATTATAGATCTACACCCCTAATGATATCAGCTAATGTAATTGCTGTGTAAAATTATAAATTAGCAGGAAGTTAAAGTTACTCTATAGCAATCATGTAAGCCTTATCGTCATCGTAGCCACTATATAGGGACTCATTTCTTAATATTTACGGTTGAGAATGTATTATACATCTAGACTATATACACCTCTAAAAGGCTCTAAAAATATCAGCTTTATTTTGTTACTTAGGAATTCTTACCTGAGAACTATGAACATCACAGCAATTTCTTAAGCTGATATTATTAGAGAATTTTGGAGGTGTAGATCTATACTTTCTCAACCGTCAAGTCTTTAGAAATGAGTCCCTATAATATATAGCGGCTTTGATGACGATAAGGCCTATCATTGATTGCCAGAATAATTTTAAATTCGTGCTAAGTAATAATTTTGTTC